TCCAACTGGATCATTAACATGCTGCTTGGACGCATCAGTGTACATAGAAATCCAGCCTTTATATTCCGATGCTAATTTCCGTGCCATTGTACGCATGGCATATGGAGAGTCTTTGTCGATTCCAAAATCAAGAAGAATGATCGGCTCAAAAATAAGTGATTCAAAGCTATTTTCAAAAAGAGGAAGACGAGAATACCGTTCTATGGGAAGGGAAGGAGTATGGAATTTTTTGTAGCTATGGAGGATACAAGAGACACCTACCGATGAACTGGAGGAAGTACTAGAAACTTTCAACAATATTTCTAATTTTTTAAGTAAAGGATGGGATGCACGTTGTATAACTTTAAGGAAAAATCGATCACTCAAAAATTGCCTACGCAGATACAAAGGGGGATCAACGCATTCGATCTGGAGACTATTGATAGGAGACGATTTCATGGCACCTATAATAATCCGCAAGCATTTAGATTGAACTTTAGAAATTTTATCAAGTGGCAACTTATTACATGGGTCTAAAAGAAAGGAACCATAATCGAAATGACAGCGGACTAGGGCATTATATATTAATTTTTGAGTGAATGGATGAGCACCCCACCATACACCCGAAAGAGCACGGAGAACATTGACCCCTTTCTCGCATTTATTTACAACACTATGGAAATGAGGAGTTCCTGATAATTTAGAATCTAGAATAACGCCTAAAAATTTTACTTGGTTATTCATGGGAATAGGGACATCTTGAAAAACTATTTGAGCTGTAGGAATGTTACGCTTTCTGGTAAACACTACACTGCAGCATTTAGAAACTGATAGTGACAAGCCGTGATCCATTAGCCAATCACCAAGATAACTTAACGCAGTATTGAGACGAAAGCAAGCTTCCTCGATTGAATTCGATCTTATATAGAGGGCTACGTCATCTGCATACTGTAAGACTTGACAGAATGAATCTACAACACTCTCTAGGTCATAAGTATAAATACTATATAGCAGGGGACTCAAAACCGACCCTTGAGGTAGACCATACCAAACAGACCTGACTATAGAAGGCGCTCCATGACATTTGATTTCAATAGACCTAGCTGAAATAGAATTAACTATGAATCGAACCAACTTCTCAGGAACACTCAACTGAATCAATTTACGTCTGAGAATTGGAAGAAGGACATTATCATAGGCGCCTGCTATATCTAAAAACGCAGCAACTACATATTGCTTTTTCTTAAAAGCTATACGAATATCAGTCGTAAGTATACTTAAATTATCCAGAGTGCTGAAACCCTTTCGAAAACCAAACTGAGATTTAGCCAAAAGACCTTGACTCTCAAAAAACCACTCTAGACGATTCCTGATCATATGTTCTGACACTTTGAAAAGGGTGGACGATAACGCAATGGGCCTATAAGAATTATAGTCCAAAGGGTCTTTGCCAGGTTTAAGCAGAGGGATAACTAGTTGCTTATTCCAGGATTCAGGGATGATACCTAAATGGTAAAAGGTATTAACTAATTTCAAATAATATAGTTTGGTTTCTTCCCTCGACTTAACAAGAAACGAATATGGAATACCATCTATACCGGGGGCAGTATCTCTAAGACCTCCAAGTGCCAAGTCAAGTTCCCGCAAGGTGAAAGGATTATCTAAATTACCAACAGATGGGATGATGTCATATGTTTTTATAGGAAGATAGTCACAGTTCGGAACAAACGAGGGAGCGAGTTTATCAGCAAATGAGGTAACCCATCCTGATGGATCGTTAGCTGACACAGATTTTGACCTCATAGAACCACGAAATCGATTCATTTGTCTCCAAACCATGCCTGCGGAAGTGCGAGGAGACATGCTTTCGCAAAACCTAGTCCAACCAAGTTTCTTTTTTTGAGATAAAAATTTTTTGGAGTGAACAGCTATTTGTTGGTACTGAGAGAAGTTTTCTTCAGTCATAGACAGATTGTATTTCTTCTCTGCTTCCTTTCTCTTACGGATAATGTCTGTGCATTCGGAATCCCACCATGGTGGAGAATTTCTTTTACGTATCGTTGATTTCGTGGGAATATGAGAATTGGCAGAACTGAGAAGAGTTTCCGTGAAGGCTTCATATGCAGTCAAACAACTTGCATTGGAAATCTCAGGTAATGAATTTAATTTATTTTTAACTTCTAAAGAAAAACATGTCCAATCAGCTTTATTTAAATCAAATTTCAAAAGGGGAGTACTACTGAATGTTGTGAGCGTACGGTCAGGTAAAGTTAAAAGAATGGGAAAGTGATCACTACCAAAGGTACTACTTAAAACATCCCATAAAAAAAGAGAAGATAGACGCGAAGAGCAAATGGATAAGTCAACTGCACTCTGGTTCTGTGATGGGGAGTTTCTCCTTGTAGGTCTACCATTGTTCAAAACACATAAGTCCAGCTCATCTAATAAATCAATAATTAAACTGCCAAAGGTATCGGAGTGATAGGAGCCCCATGACTCATGATGAGCATTGAAATCACCCAAAATAAGCACAGGCGGTGGTAAAGCAGAAATAATTACCCGGAGTTCCAATAAAACAGATACATTTGGGTGTGGGATATATAACGAAAGAAAAGAAATATTATTTATTCTAACAGCAACAGCATTAATTAGATCCCTATTATGAACAGGAAGTGGGACTTGAGTAAATAGTAGGGAGTTACTAATAATGAGAGCACTTCCTGCATAACCATCATCTCTGTCATCGCGCAGACATAGATATCCAGGAATATTGAAAGAAATATTCCTAGGAAGCCACGTCTCCGAAATGGCAAAAATAAGAGGAGAGTACTTATATATAAAATATTGGATTTCATGCTTTTTAGAACGAATACTATTGCTGTTCCACTGAATTATATTCAGAGGAGCCATTTTTGGTTAATAAATTTAAAAGAGGTAAAATTTTCGGAGCTACGTTGGGCGGTAATGGTACGTCACTGAATTTCGACAAAATATTAGCAACAAGCAACCACAGAAGATCAAGACAATCGTCATTCGGAACTATATCATTAGTACTCGAATTACCAAGGGCACATCCATTAGGAAGAGTTGGAGGACAATTCCTAATTATGTCCTGGTGAGCCTGCTTGTCATATTCCTTCCCCAGGGCAGAATGTTGTCGAGGAGAGAGGAAAACAGTCTTTTTATAAGAACGAGAAGTCAGAGGTGAGGGTTGAGAATGCACAATTTGAGGTACGGTTGTAGTCGAAGAATTTACTGACTCAGAGTACAACCTTCTTACATTGGGATATAAAGCAGAAGCTTCTTGGAAAGAAATATTATCTTGAGTCATTCTAATTTTGATCGACTTTTGGCGACACTGTTCAGGACAGATCTTGTTCGTAGCAAAGTGTTTACCAGAACAGTATAAACACGAAGCAATATCTTCTGTAACATTACAACTCTCTCCCATATGCGGCTGCGCACAACGATAACATCTCGGTTTAGATCGGCACTGAGATTTAATATGTCCAAAACGGCAACAATTGTTGCATTGGATAATTGGGAGTTGATATGGGATAACGGGAATAGAGGTATAAAAAGAAAAAACTCTTTCAGGGAGATTTTGTCCTTTGAATGTTAAAACAACTGATTGGGTAGGGATCCAAGAAGCATGACCATCTAAAACTCGTTTTCTATTGAGGCGTCTGGCTTTTAGAACCATCCCACAGTAATCAGGAATAACTAAAGAGTCGACCAGCTCGTCCATGCATATTTCCGTTGGAATGCCTCTAATGACACCCATGCGTGTAACATTAAAAGTAGGAATTACTACAGTATAATTGTAACGAGCTAATAAAGGATTTATTAAAAAGTTATTAGCATCCTTACCAGTTTTAAATTCAACAGCAATACGGTTGCGGCCAATTTTTTTGACACCATCCTTAACTATATTGGTGATTTTGTTTTGCTTTAGGAATTGCCCGAAAATAATTGGTCGAATAGTAGTTCCAGTTGAAGGATTTGACTCAATCTTTGAAACGTGTATAATAAATGGGCCCTTATCAAGATCAGAATAAGACTTATGACCCTCTTTTAATGACGGGTGTGTATATACTGATTGACTTGTTGATGTTGAAACTATGTTAATTTCATTTTGTTGCAACTTCAAAGAATCAGTAATAACTTTTTTAATGGGCTCACATTGATTTTCGAATTCAATACGTCGTTTTGTGCCGGATTGGCTAAATATTGGTGGTGATAGCTCCATCGGAGATTGAGTCAACTCCAACTCTCCATCAGGAGGATCCGGAGGATCCGGAGGAACCCGGTCCATTGCTTATACAGAAAACAAAATTAAATATTAATTAAGCACTTAAATAAATATACAAACGTAAACAGGTAATAATCCACAGCAACAAAATAGCGAGATAGCACAACAAAGAGCAAGCAAAATGACTAAAATAATCAGAACACAAAAAAGACGTGTATCAACCAACACACCGTTTCAACTAATGAAGTCTCTGAATAAGAATGTAGTACACCGATTATTTTGACATTGACAAACGAAACTCCTTAGGTACTGCTGGTCTGAAAAATTTATACATACATACTTTTGAATAGCGCGGATATAGACACATGCCCAAAGAAGAAAAAAATGATTTAAAGTATTCCATTGGTTCAAATAACTAGAGCAACATTTACACACATTATGTCCTGCCGCTCCCCAAATACCAGCGCCATAGTCACCAAGTTAAATTGAATTTTGCCCACTTTATGAGCTATTTATTAGACAAGTATAATTAAAATATATTATTACCTAAGAATAGGCTGTATGAGCTAGATTGCCTTAGGCTAATTAAAAAACAACAATAATCTATCAAAGTGACATTGAAAATGTCAAATAGTTTGTTGGTGGTTCTCCAAAATATTCCGAAATTATTGCAATCGAAATAGATATTTAGGTATGATCTCATAGGTTACGGAAGTCTGTTTTATAGTCACAGTGCAAGGTAATTCGGCGTTAATGTTTCGCCTTTAACAATGCAGCAATCACCTTTCGAAAATATATTCAATATAATAGGCGGAATAACAGAGGGCAACGAAAAGCCTATGAAACACGGTTTCTATAATGCCTTCGCACTGTTTATTCTAACCATTTGTTGTGCAGCAGTCTATGTATTGTTTCTTATACTAGAGCCTTTCTTCAAACCGTTATTTTGGGCTTTACTAGTTGGTTCTATACTCCACCCGTTTAAGTACAAATTATCAAAAAAAATCAAAACATGGTTTGAAAATTTAAACAAATCTAACACTTCAGTGATTGTTGGTTTAATAGTTATTCCTGTGAATGTTGTAAACTCTGTGTCTGACACAGTTGGTCATCAATTCAGAGAGCACTATAAAGTAAGTATATATTTTTTTAATATTATTTATTAAGCTTATTTCAACATTAATGCAGTTAAGTGAGCCTGTAGCTATTTTATGGGAACTAAAGCAGTTCTGTACTGGTGTTGAAACTAAAACAAAGTTGTGAAATTGTAATCAAAATTCACATATTCCTAGAAAATCAAGCACGGTTTCATGAACCCCTTTGACAAAAAAAAAACTGCAGTAAACTTTAGATAATTTAAAAAACTACCTACATATATGGTAATGTGATACTTGGTGCTGATTTATTGCTATAAAAGTAATGTATATTGGTGTTACTAGTGGGCTTACCCATGGTGGCATAACAGGTAGGATACTTATCCCACCCTCGACCCTGACTTTAATAATTCAATTAAAAACTGGTATTTTGGCTTAAAAATGATTATCAATAAAAAACATTCAAAATTCACATTATTTATTGAATGCCTTTACTTTTACTTCAACCCTAAGTAAGTGCTAGTTACACTAACAGTCAGTTGTACAAATGTCCATTGAGGTTTAATTAAGCCTTTAAACTCTAATTAATGTCAAATTTGTAATGCCACTTTAAACTCATAATTATTTTAATGAAAAAATGAATGAATGAATTTTAATTAATTTTAGTGCAACTAGCTGTAAGTTGTTATCTTGTTGGTGTACTTCACCATGCTAAGTAACATAGGAAGTATAAAATAATGAGGCTTTTTTTATTTATTATATTAATTTAATACATGGAAGAGGTTGCAGACCCCAGACAGAAACATTTACATATATAAATAGTGTTGCAGAGGTATTTACATAAATGTAAAATTGGTTGTTTCCAGACTGTGATTGGGTTACTGTCTGCAATTTATATACTACCATGGCTGTACAACTCTGTACCGAGAAGCTTTTCTTGCATATTTTGGCAGACCACCAGCTTCATCAGTTTTTCAACCACAATGCTCATTAATTTGTGTACTTCATATATAGTAAGTGGCACCTACTATAAATTATTATTTCATTAAAAGACTTACTGCAAAAAATCTATTGTTAGGACATGGAGTTTTAGTTTAAAGCCCTAATTTTAGCTTAACTTTGTTAACTTTATTAAAAGTTTCTGCCCTGGAAAAAAAATGTAGAGCCGGGCCTGTTCATTATGTTAATGTCTTCTAAGGATTTCAATGTTGATATTATATTGCAAAGCAGCTATTCGATTACCTACCTATTTCAAATTGGAACACTTTACAATATCTTAATTTCTTGAATGTTTCAGACTCTCACAATAGCCATGGCATATTTCATAAGTGTGTATGTTATGTGGACCCCACAAAGAGCAGGCGTCTTTAGATTCACTGCTCAGCTTTTTTGGCTGATCATCACTTGTTTTATTGCTAGTCTAACAGGCTCTATCCAAGTGTATACATTTGTGTTTCTACAAATTGTTTGCATTGTTGGCTTTGCCCTGGAAATATTAGATGTTCATAAACGGATGCTAGCCAAAGGTTGGTAAGTCATCTAAATAAATTAGTAAAAACTGTTAACTATTTGTAATAATAATTTTAATAAAATGTTTCTTATAATTCCATGCACAGTACTTATGTGTCTGATAGATAATAGTTCAAGATATGGAATATTTAAAAATTAACCCTCATCTGTTTTTGATTGCTACAAAGTCCATATGTGAGATTAAGAGCCCTATTATATCTATGATTTTAGCATAAAATAGTCAATTTTGGCGTTCTCGAGTCTGGAAGCAAAAATATATAAATAATTTTGACTTGTTGAATAGTGCAGAATAATTCTTGCCATAGTTCGTAGTGACCTTACTTTTTGGGAATAGTGCTTATCTTTTTAATGAAACCCAAAATAGCAGAGAAAGATTTTCATAAAATGCGCCAAGCCACTTTATTAAGCTCCTGGACAAATTAATTTTAAAAATAGTATAATATCTCTTATATAGTCGTGTAATTCGTAATGCCCTCGAAATTTTGAAATAGCACTGATTAAATATAGAAAAACAAATCAAAAAACGTAAAATTTCTTGAAGCTAACTGTCAATATCTTCTAACTACGATAATATTATTGAACAAAATTTATACCAGAATAATGATTATGTACTTCATAAGCATTAAAGATTTTATGATTTCAAGAATAATTTTCAGTATGGCATTGTGAATGCAAAATTAATCAATGTACAAAAATTGGGGAAAAGTATCGAAATAGCTTGGTCATTGTTTTAACACAGTATTGTGGACTCGTGACCTTGAACAAATTTGTAATAGGGCTCTTAATGAAAAACACATAAGTTGCTTAGCTAAACCAAGTGCCATCACTAAGATGTTTTCATCAATAAAAGAGGGAAAGGTAATTAAAAAAAGTACCATTTTAATGTGTGGGCCCCTGATTTAGTCAAGCAACCTAAGTATATTTTATTAATCTACATGTTATATTACCCATAAACTTTTTCACAATCAAATAACAGATGAATGTAAATTTTCCTATTATTTATCTAAGACTATAAGTATTGGTAGAATTATGATTTCATTATTTATTTTTAATATTTCAGACCCAGAAGCTTCAATGATAGTTGCAATACACAATGTTATCACTAATGGAGACCATAAAGAAACCACAGTGCCTGAAGAAAAGCCTATAGAGGTGTCAGAGTCTACCAACGAACAAGAGTCAACCCCTGAGAAAGACTCTCCAACAACACCTGACAGCATTACGAAAAGAGGGAGCTGGACTGGAAATGAACCCATACAAAGTTCACCAAGGCATGCGAAAATGTTGTACAAGACCAGAACACTTTCTGCTTTGCCATTATCAAGTACAAAGACAAAAACTGCTTTCGAAAATCGCCTCATTGCCTCGTTCAAGCAGCGATCACTAGACGAAAACTACATGAGAAACAACTTCGATAATGATGAAGAAACAGCGTTGTATTTCAAACTTTTGTTCTTTGGTTGCTTTTGTATGCTTGTTTGGAAACATATTTGGTTATTACCAGTGATGCTGTTCTTTTTATCTATTCATGTTCTGAAGAAATTGTTAGACTATTTTGGTGTTTGGTTGTTCTTTGAAAACCATTACAATAACATCATGAGCAGAATTAAGAAGTGGTGGGGAGACAGGTGAGAAATAGTTAATAATTAATAATGAAATTCGATGCTATAATTAAGTTTATAAATTGTATTTTTTTTTTTTACATGAATCACAATAGATACAATTTTTATCATCCACAATTTGTATCTTTTCCAATGTCGCCAGTTTGTCCCTATTTTCCTTTTAGATGTTAGTGACTGATGCTTCAATGTGACAAAAATTTTGCTATTCATTTTATGTAAATGTTGTAACATGTATGTTAGTGGTCTTCCTTCTACACAATCAAGACTATTTGCTCAGATTGTTATGACTTATTCTAAGAGTACTTTGAAAAAACCATCTCAGATACCAAGCTGGATACGAACAGCCGACCCTTCGTTAATGCTCATGCAGTGCTCTATTTCGATTGTTAATTTTTACTACTTTCTAAATAATCTAATCTAGACATTCACATCCCACCACATTACAGGCAGTCCGCTTTAGTTCCGGCCCACATTCGCGGCATTGGCAAGATTGCATCAATATGCAACAGCAGGATCATTGATATTGCCTATGACTCTGTAGACACCGTTTCCAGCTGCATCGTCATTCTGGGCCTTATACTGTTCCTCACAGTGGCTATTATATTTATTTGTATACAGGTAAGATATAAAAAGTAGATATAAATACGATTCATATATATATATATCTAATCCATCTAATTTACTTATAATAAAGTGTAAAGTATTAATAAATGAATAAATGTATGTCCCAGATTTACTCAGAAGCGATTGTGGTGGTTCAGCTAAGCGGTAGTCTGTTAAATAGTACTTTCGTACAAAATAGTGAATTGCATGCATACCTGCCTGAAGGTTGGGAAGAGAAACTGGACTCGCTCATAGACAATGCATATACTTATGGACGAGAAGGCATTTCCACTGGGGTAAGAGTCTGATTACATTTTTAAATAAAAATAAAAAACTTGCCATAAGAAATCTCTAATCTGTAACCATCAAGTGTTGAAAACTTTATAATTTATTGAAGGAAAGGATAGTAAATCCTATCTATAAGGGTCTAAATAGCCTTTTTGTCGTTTAGACTTTATGGTATTTTTTTTTTTTTAATATATAAAGTGATTAAAATGACTTAACAAGTTAAGTTTATCATTATAAACACTGTTTTCTTATGCGGTATAAGGACTTACATAGCATACTCATATGGAATTTAAAAAAAAGTTAAATGTTTAAAAACTCGTACAAACCAGCATAAATATGTGAGTGTGAAACCTATTACTATAAGGTAATAAGCCGTTCGCTTCGAATTGACAACCATTCTAAATGATGAAAGATAAAACCCCTCAAGATAAAAGAAAATAAATTTATAGTTTTTCTGTGTATAATTTACTGAAATTATTTAACGATTTTATTCTCTAAAGAAACAAAGATTATACTGAATATAAATTATAGCTATCTAGGACCTTACTAGATGTAAATTGAACAAAATGGCGTCCCAAGCAAGTGTGATTTATTTATTGACAACAAATCCATATACTGAAAGTAATTTTTACTACTTATCATGCTGACAATGGGACATGGCACTTTCAGATAAAGAGATATGTAAGTAAATTGTAATGTTTCAAATATCACAAAACCTATCCTATCCAGCAGAATTGGGAAAACATGTTTCGAATATCACTATGTATGCATTAAGACGTGCACATTTAGAAGATAAAGTTTTAGTGTTCAAATAGTCTACTTTTATGTATAATTACACATATTTACTTATTAATAGTATGTAATAAAGTGTGAGTAGAACTCTTAATAGTAAATTGTTACACAAGGACTAATATGACCCATTATATGCGAGGTAGTTTTATAAAAGCAGAGTTATGATGGATTTCAGCGCCGCATATTACACTCTACTTTACACTTCGATTTCCAAAAAAATCCATTTCTTATTTATTTTCCTTAAAAAAAATAGAGTAACTAAACAAATCACACCAATTATTTTATTTTTTAAATTAATCACAATGCATTCCCTCATTAGTCTTTATAAGTCGAGTCGATATCTTGATTTTGAATATATATTTTTCCCCTAATGCGACAAACGCTATTTTAGCCCGGTTTTGGTACACTTTAACCCATTACTTCCTAAGCATCGAAAACATTGGAATTTTTTGGTCAAATTTTGAAATTAAGTTCATAATAGGCTTAGAAAAAATAATATGAAGAAAAAATAAAAATATTAACTACCTTTAATGCTGAGTCAGCCTGTCCTATAAATATGACAGTGGAGACATGAGATCAAAAATAATGAAAGTTATCAATTATAAGAAAATCAACTGTATTTGAAAACTATGACCATAAACAGTTTTAAATGTTAAGTTTTAAGAGCTTATTTTATATGATAAGGTATAAAACAATCACTGCAGAGATTTTTTTCACATTTAGCACAAAAAGTAAGAGGTTTTTTTTTTACAATCTTGTCCCTGGCAACGCCTCTGTTTGTCTCTTTTCGTCATATAGTGACCAATATTGTCAAACCCGATAGATTGTAAAAGACTTTCTGATGTTCCTCTGCCTGGTTTGCTTGCCTTGCCTTCCGATTTATTCATCCAAGCAAAACAAACCCTACGTCTGATGTTCCTCTGCCTGGTTTGCTTGCCTTGCCTTCCGATTTATTCATCCAAGCAAAACAAACCCTACGCCTGAAATCTAGTAGAGAGATGGTCTCTTCTTTATTTACCTCGTTGTAAATAATCCATGCATTTATTAGGGACATGTCTAAAATACGAATGAATACAGGCCAATACCATTTTTTACCTCTAAAGCGAATCGGATATTTAGAAATCAGTCAATCATGTTTATCCACTCCTCCCATGTTTTTATTATAATTATGAATAAGCTTTGGCTGATTCACAGCTACTTTTGCTTTCTCTGTTTTCGAGTACCTATTAGTTTTTACAAAAGGTTCTATAGTATCAAAAATTGTCAAAAGACATACTACATTGTTATCATGCCATTTCACGCATAATATTTCATTATTTTTATCAAAACGATGATTGGAATATCCACGGTCTTTCTTTTTCATTTCTTGTTTAGTCATGATAGGACATTTCTTAGGCCTGTTGTCTCTGACCGTCCCTGTAGCTTTGAACCCTTGAGATTTCAAATCGATTAACAATTGCATGCTGCTAAAAAAGTTATCAAAGTAAACTACGAGTGCACTGGGATCTGTACATACTGCAAGTAACTTTTTCACCACTCTTGAACCCAAACCATCACCATTATCAGAGATTTGAGTTTCCTTGCCTGTATAAAGCGAAAAGTTATAGCAATATCCGCTGACTCCACACAGTGCCCAAAGTTTGTATCCAAACCTCACTGGTTTACCTTTTATAAATTGTTTGATCCCATGATGACCAAAGTATTTGACGATCATCTCATCAACGGCTAAATTGGATTCAAATATTCCAAACTTTCGGAAGGACTCATTAGCTTTTCTCATTAGCTCCCATATCGTCGTCAGGACCTTCTTCTATGTCAGTCATTTCGTCCACTTCGTCAGGAGGTAATATGGCAATTTCAATGTCGTCCAACTCCTCATCTCGATAATCTTCTAAATCTTGAAGATAGTCTGTGATTTCGGACACCTTCAAAGCTTTTTATTTACTGGATTCATGATCTATAAAGAATAAAAACATATAATTTACACCTTTACCTAACAACTAATAGGTATATTGTACAAAATTAAAATATTTTTAACTCACCTTTTCACAACCTTCTGCGTAATCACTATTTTTGAACTCTAGTTTGATAAATAAATCACAATTATATCACGACATGTAAAGTGTTCGGAACTAACCTTTCGAGTAATGTAAACACAAGACACGCAAGAGACAAACAATTGAAACGTTTGAACTAGTGCGTTGCAAGATCGAACGTGCTGTCGCGGCAAAATGTATAGACATGTTCCCAGTGTCATATTTATAGTACGGCTTATTTTGAAAGAATACCACAAGTTTTGAAGCCATGTTTTGTTTATGTTTTAATTTTGTATACATTTAGTAGAGGTCTAAGAATCAGTTTTATATACATTGGAGTTGGCAAGTTTTTTCTTTTATGGTATATAAAATCAGAAAATAATGTTTTTTTTCTAGGCAACAAAATGATCAATTTGAAAAAAATACATTAAATTTATGGATACCATTTTTGCAGTAAAAAAATATGTATATACCAGAAATACAGTGTAAAAATACGAATTTTATCTGAAATAATAAAAATAAATGATTTAAAAGATATAAAAAAAATGTTGAAAATGGTGTCTTAAAAATATGACAGAGGGGAGGAATGGGTTAATGAATTGACGGACGTTTAGAGTAGTAAAAATATATTTTCACCATAAATGGATGAAAGTCAGTCAGAGATAAATGTGTCTAGTTCTCTTGAAATTTAAGTTATGCGGTTTCATTTCTGTATCAATAATCACCAGGACTGTCTTTAATGCCAATTCTTCATAAGACTAAGTATTCTATAAGCAATGCGGCTATTCCGTGTCAGAAAATTTCTTTGTGAGTCAAATAATGTTTTGAGATCCATACCCAACCGCAATTGACTCATAAGATCCTGCCCCAATTAAAACCTCAAAGCAGGTCAGTATCGTAGTATGTGTCATTGTCATGTTTGATTTTTGAACCGTCGCCGTTTTAACTCCTATTTCAAATGTAATAAGACTCACAAAAGTTAAAAGGTAAGTTGACGCTTCGACGATAGTACGATATAAGTTTGTGGTGTTCAAACTCTGAATATAACTATTCTAGGTGAAAAGCATTCTCAAAGAAGGGGATCCCGAGAAAGTGAGTCGTGTGGAACAACAGATGCTGGAGATATGGGATCGTGTGTACCAAAGCTGGGTGTCTGGACACTTTGCTTCTAGTACCGGACCTCAAGTCGATGGCACCGCCGTACAGGACTCCTGGGATAACTTTGTTAATAATGTTTCTAATACACCAGGTGAGCATAAAAAGAAAGGAAATGATATTTAAGTTGTTTATATTTTTTTGTATTCGCGAAATAACTTTCCGATACGCGTGAATTCGTATCTATTGAGTGTGACAAAAGGCCAATCGATAGTGGGGAAAAGTCTTTCCCCACTTTTCCAGCTACCATTATCCTCCTTTACTATCTCCAGAACTATTAAACATGTATTGTTAAGGTGTATGATTGTGACGTAGATAAATGCATGAACTTAAGCTGTTCGAGTAGTTTTCAAATTGCTGTAGTAATAACAAAATTTCAAGAATATTTGAAAAATGTCGCATTAAATATTGCAATCGATATTTATCTTAAAGAAAAATGCTTAAAAAAATTAACCAGTCCCAGTTATCTACAACTCGGGGCTGGTGAATTTTCTGAAGGGCTTTAAGTTAAACATAATTTCTTTTGTGTATTTTTTTACTGTTATTAAATATTATTGAGTTTCTTGCACCCGGTTTAGATAAGGATGAAAAAAATATTTATCAGTTTTATTAACCCTACCAATTAAAAAGAAAATTTTGTTGTTCTCAATAGAAAATGCTGAAAAAATCTACTTAGTCCCTAGCACCTTGAGATGGGATTCGAACCCATGACCTTTCGCAATCCGGGCGACTGATTTAACCACTGACCTACCCAGGACCTAACAGTACTGACGAATCTTTCGAGCAGTTGTTACTTTTTCCCTACTACAGAGCGTATACTCATCAATGTTCAGGCAATCCACCCAAACAGCCAAAAGAAATATTTTTACAAATATTTAAACTTACGATAAAGATCAAAAATTGTTCTAATTATTATATTTAATCAATTTCGCATTCACAATAATAATAATAATATTTATTTCAGAGATATGACTCCATAGTAAATGTCAGTAGCAACAGAACTATAATTTAATATTAGTAGGTAATAAAGAAACGACAACACTTAAAAGCTAGTATGCAACTGCATCCAGCGTATAAATGAACATAATATATATACAATGCTATACTGAAAATATTCTTAAAGAAAAATTATAAAAAAATGCACTCGGTCCAATTTTTTATTTTCCACAGAACTTTCCTCTTACTTACTATAATAGTATAATGGTCTCAATTTGTTTGTAGGAATATTCGATTTTTCGGGTATAGTAGCTTGGGTGCAAGCTAATGTGGGCACATTGAGCGCTATAGCAACGAGTGTGTGGGCTCCGCTAGCTAGCAACATGTCGCTACTGGCTGGCTCCGTTGGCGCTTTCACATCACTATTGCTATGCGGCGGTGGCGCCATCATCAACATGTTTATCAACCTGGTGAGTTGAATCTTTAGTGACGTTTCTAACAAATTCAAAATACGTTTCATAAATCATTTTTGGGTTTCCAGACCCAAAGTATTTAATCCTGTCGCTAAGACTCCGCTGTCCTATCTATTGTCAATATTTAAGGATTTCAGCATGGTCGATGTAACTCCTTTCGGCATGGCGAAATTCTGATTTATATGATTGCAGCGAAGAGACTTAAACCATGTATCATATAATACAGCGATGCCCGATCCATTCATATCTAGGACCCATTGAAGACATCTACCTTACTCAAGACGCAGCTAATTGGCTCTAAAAACTGAATTTAGGCTTATGATAATTATTAAATAAGAATATGTATTCGCCTATGTAACAGACTGCCATACGATTACATTAATAAATAAAGATAGGTTCCAAGCTTAGCTCCCATTCAACGAACGTGATATTTTTCGTTTCTTTTATATAAATAACGGTACGGAACCCTACGTGCACAAGAGAGAACAGCAGTTGGGCGGTTTTGTTTTGTTCTCATAGAAAGCATAAGGTTTAGAATGAACAGGTATTTTTACGTTTGCTTTACGAAATACTGTATAACCAGCATTAAGTTTACAATGATACGTGGTATCATAAATAAAAGTAGACTTTTTTTGTGACATCTTCATTGTTTTTAATTCTATTTTGTTACTGTATATTTATTTAAACAGTCGGTTTTGAAGCCTATTCTATAGAAAAAAAAAAAAACAAATGTTTCCCTTTTATAATATTACGGTCACAGAAAACCATAATATTGTTTGTTTTCTTTGGCAGATCGTATTTTTCACTACTCTTTTTTACTTGCTGGCGTCGAGTAACGCCCTCTACAAACCAGTTGAAGTGATAACTCAAATACAACCCAACTTTGGACCGCGGCTCGGCATAGCACTATCGGTTGCTATAAATCAGGTAAAAATGCCGTAACATCAAATACAATAAAATGAAAATTAATCTGGTTTTCTTTAATCGCGGACTATTTTCAGGTATTCAGAGCTTCGTTTAAAATGGCCCTTTTTTATGGTCTGTGGACTTGGTTGGTGCATAACTTCTTTGGGGCGAAAGTTGTCTACCTACCGTCGGGTAAGTACTTCAGATGTATGAAGAATTTTAATTGTTTGACGTCAACAAATATACAGTCCACTTCAAAAAAAGAAATAATCAATCAAAACTGTTGTGTTATGCGTTTATGTTTTTCTATATATTTCTCCACTTATTTTTTTAAAACTACAGGTTGGATTACACTGATTTGACATTTTAATGGCAGTTTCTTAATTTTTTCTTACTTAACTGTAACAGTGTTAAATTTTACAAAATTCTAAGATTCCTAAGTTTGTTTGTAAAAAGAGTTTCTTTATGTTTTGTTTTTATTCTGTTCCCAAGGATTTATTGTTCTTATCACAAAGCGCTGCAATTCTATTTTAATTAATCGATTATTTATAAATCTAAAGGTCATAACTCATAAGATATCATTATAATGAAAAAAATATGATAAACATGCATCCCAAAAAAATATTTTAAATAATCAAAGTCCATTAAATTCACGAAATGAAGTCACTGTGTAACGATATCCCGAGGTTCATCGAACTATTAATTTCGTCCGAACAGATAAATCGGTACGATTTTATATAACGTAATAATAGCTGTTATTCCTAGAAGTATTATCTCGGGATGATGCGCATTCGATGCCATATTTTATTACGCCAGAATCTGTGCCAGAGACAAAATGTATTGATATCTGTTTAAAAAAATATGACAATCGTTAAGTGCTTGCAGTTTTTGCTCTTTCTCAAAGCGATTATCGGTGTCAGGATTAACTTCACCGATTGCCAAAGCAATCAATGGACTTGTGTAAACAATGTGCCCAATGATATCGTGTACACATGCACAGATTTATCTGATAACGTAAGTACTGCTTGAAATTGTGATTATAATTAATAGAAATTGAATTCCAATTAAACAAAGCCGTTATTGTTTTAGGACTTAACAATTCACTTAAAGGATTACTATACGGATCATATAAACAGTGTTACTATGCAGAATTGCAGAAACGTCAGGGTTGTACTGGACTGCCCTATATTACAAAGACCTTCGCATCTTCAACGGTTTATAATCAAGAATTGCGATAGAGTCGAATTTGTCACTTTGTCTTCTAGTTCTTTGTCACAAACTCCCCCTGAGGTTACTATGGAAAATATCAGAGTTATTGTATCTCTTCCGAGTAAAATGTTCAAGTCTCCGGTTACCCAAACAGAATTAAAATGTTTAGGTACGAGTTCTTTAAAGAAGATCTATATAGCAAACAGCAAAATTAACACTCTGAACTCTAAAACAATCTCTAATGTTACTGGTATAAAAAATATAGAATTCAAAAATGTCACTATTATAAATGTACAAAAACAAGCCATCGAAGCTATTATGGGAAATGATAACTCATTATTTTCTATGGTCAATTGCAAAATCGAAAAATTAAGTTCGAAAGGAATAACTGTGCGAAGTAAAACTGTTGTAATAGACGGTACCACATTTGGCGATATTGTTGCGAACGCTATTAACATAACGTCAGATCATTTACATATTAGTGGGAACTCGTTAAATAATGTTTACTCCAACGGACTAATGTTGAAATCATTAAATACAGAAATAACGAGTAATATTATAAATCTACTGAAAAGTAACGCAATGGCGGATGTCAAATGCCTCAGAAAAAGGATAAGCAAAAAACGCTTTAATTTCTCAAACAATAAGATACAAACACTTGAGCCACATTCGTTGTCATTCGACTTCGAAAGTTGTAAATCTGCTGGTACAACAGTTAGAGTCAGTCAAAACAAGATCGATTGCAAATGTCGTAATATTTCATATCTTAGTCTGTCGACCTTGACCACAGAACTAAACAGTATGATACTAGACGTTTCGAATAATAATACTTGTGTATCAGCGCCATGCACGCTACCTGTTGAAGTGGTAAAGCTGTTATTAGAGAGTAATATGTGTCAACTAAACCTTGACCCTCGTGTCATATGTTTGCTGTACAACGATAGGAAGTCTAATAATAATCACAATGAAGTGGTTACTGATGAAGATGAAGAGGTCACTGAACCAGCGCCGACGTTCTATCTGATCAGACAAGCTAATTCGCCAAATGGTGACGCAAGCGCTGCTATGACGGCTATTGACAAGGGCGACCTACTAAGAGATAGCAATTTAAATATGGCCAACAGAACAACAATCAAAGTGTACTTTGATTCTTCTAAAGACTTCGTGGAGACGCTGAGAAGCACGGGTACACGCAGTAAACCACAGGCAACATCTAAAGCTCCACCGAGAGATGATCATACGAGCCGTTGTGTTGGAAATCAATGCAGGAACACTATAGCGTACGACAGGCAGAAAGCGTTAGACTTTTATAAATACCTATATGCTCAATTACGGTCACCGAATCCAAGTGATGTCAAGAAAAAGAAAACTTAATATTTATTAGAAATAAATTTATTTTAATACAATTAATTTTTATTATAATTTATTAGTGCGACACGCTTGATATGCAATTGCTGTGCAATTCCTATTCACATCTTACACTTACGCTACTAAATGAGCTTATTATCCAAGCTCTAGAAAACTACAATCGACATCGTTGCATAAATTGCCATTGCATAACACGTTAAGAGTTATTTATTTATTTCATTGGAAACATTTGACTTAGAATTTACTCAGCTTTATAAATGTCAAGTCTTATTAAGTATAAGCTAAAATAGTTTACTGGATTCACCCAGACCATTTAAGGATGACTGGGTTTTTTTGGCGATCGACTTAAAAGTTATATCATTTTCGTATCTTAAAATTATTTACTTATTCGCATTCTTATTTAATCTATCTTGTTCGTCGTGTATTCTTTTAATGTCTCTTATAATTCTCCTCCACTGGTTCTCTGGAGATGATTTTCCAACCTTTTATCACTCTGTTTTTTGTTTGTATCGTATGTAAAGTCTATCATTATTATTACTATTTAAGAAAAGAAAATCCGCCTACTTACTTTGACAATAACAGACATGTTAAGCACCGGTGGTTAAGCAAATAATGAGTTGCACCATTTGGCAATGAATAACGCTATAACTGGTTTTAACTATAATCGCCTAAACTTCGCTGGGCGGTATGCACTTTATAGTCCATTCCGCACTATAAGGCCGTGAGACAATTTGACATAAACCTTAACTTTAACTGCTAATATGGTGCAATCGAGCATAATTCTTGCATAAAGAAATTGACATACTCGTAATATAAATATAAGCATCGAAGGTGAAGGGCGGGACTTAATTTGTTTTTTTATTTTTTTATATATATATATATATATTTTTTTTAATAAATATTTGGGTTTGAATAGGGTATACAAAAGAAATGTAAAAGGTAATACAATTATCGTCTATTCGGCCATTAACAATAGCATGCAAAAAAAGGTCGTTCTTTATACATTGTTCGATGTTATCGATCGTGATTGCAGTTTTAGCTGCGGTGTTAGGGGCGGCTCCGTTCCTCGGTCCGTACCTGGCGGGTCTGCCGGCGGCCCTGGATGTGTGGCTGCAGGGCCGGCCCATGTCTGCCCTATTGTTGCCCATAGCGCAAGCAGCGCCCATCGCCTTCCTCGATGCCGCTGTCTATGCTGAGATCAAAGAGTGAGTCCTGATCTGTACTAATATTATAACAAAGAGAATAATCTTCCGAAATACTGATCCGATCACTAATATTTTTGCGTAAACTTACAGGAAGCTACGTCACACGCGAATGACATAGGCTAAAATTATATCTAATCGTTTCTTTCGTACACTAACGCTGCTTAGCGCTTACTCAGCGCTATCTTATTTATTTATTGACCAATACTGTATTTATTATTTTCGGTCCACATATATTAGAACTTTTTATTTCACTAATGCAATTAAAGACAAGTCTTACTTCTTTCTGAATGTCCTAGTTTCATCGTCGCTAGTAGGCACTTGTATTGTTAATATATATACTATACTATAAATACTATAACTATATATCTTTTCTTGAGATAAATTACATAGGTTTTTCAGTTGTTTTGTGGATGACGATGCTGGTTATACAATTTATTATTTACCTCTAACTATACGCACATGTTGATAAATACAAATTAATAAACAAGGTTTTGCGTTTGAGTTAGCGCTTAGTATTAGTCGAAATTCATATTATTAAACAGAGACTTAGCAAAGGTTAACCTAGTACGAGGTTCTACGGCAGCAATATTTACTCCCAAAAGGTAGTAGCAGGTCTGCTTATTCTCTGTATGATATGAATTTGAACTAATACTAAAATTGCAATTTTAGCCTAAATTTACTCTGACTCTAAACCCTGTTTATTAAAATCACTGTACTGTGCAAAAGGCAGACTTATTGTTAATACCATTCTCTCCTAGTGAACCTTAGTCGGTGTTATAATTATTTTGAATCGTTGGAAGCGAAATTGTTTTCTTCTAGCCTGAGTACAGATGTGTAATCAAATGTGATAAAGAAAAGACGACAGTTTATCTTCTGCTGCTGTGATTGATACGCCGTTTGGTAGTGAAATATTAACTGCTATATCTGCCCTACCTACCCTACCTAAGTAGATAACCTGCTTACTAGGATTTGGTAAAACTAAGCTAGTTATAGTTCCATATCCCCCAAGCACAAAGACAACAAAAATCACATTTTATAGTAAAAAAACAATACTTATTGCTATTTATTTCAGCGGTGGGCACCCATACGTGACGGGGCTGGCTATAGCGGGCGGAATATTCTATCTAGGCCCTGAGGGTGCTATATTGGGGCCGCTGCTTTTGTGCTGCCTCATGGTGGTACTCAATCTCTCCTCCACCTTCCTGAGAGACACGCCTTCTGAAGAAAGAGCAGCCCTACACTCGCGCGTCAGGTAAACACACAAACAAAAACGATAGACACCTGCATTTCTCAACTATTCGAAATCGTGTTTTAAATTTTTATTTATTTCGAGCATAAAAACCAATTTTGACATCTGTTGATACTTTAAAGAACATTTAGAGTATTGCAACTGAATATCAACACGAGAAACGTCTATTAAGAGTCATTTGAAGACAATGTATTTCACAAAAAGCAAAAGTTTGAATAATTGAACCATTTCCAATCAATGTTTTCTATATTTCTCAAAACAGTTTGATTTTCAGTAGACAGCACTGTATTTTCTATTAATTACGAAAACAAAAAAGATCAATCCAAATAAGTTATATCAAATTACTAATTGTTAGAAATAACAAAATAATCGACACTCACAGTCGAACAATTAGCGACCCTAATACGAATGAATAATGAAGCATTATTAATACAAATAAAATTATCTGTTAACGTGAAATAGATCTTATCTTTTAGAGTTTTGAGTTCAAACTATTTGTAGTGATACAAACGTGAACATGTAAATTACAATTAATTTGTCAGATGTGTGGTTTGTTTTGCCCTTTTAATATTTACTTATTACTTGTAATACGAATGAGAAATTATCTAACGAGATTTTAATTACTTTATTTTATTAAAAGTTTTTTTATTGTTTTATGATATTTACTTAAATGGTCAATAAAAGCCGTCCTAAAATATCTCATTCGTAAACGCATTTTTTATGTAAATAATACTCTTATAACATGTGATTAATATCATATAGGATTTGTTTCTATTACTCATTTGGTTATGGTGTTCTGTTGATTTAGGTCATTATTGGGATTATTTAAATAATAAGGTGTGTACGACTTTGTAATTTGCTTCCAGTATTTTGCAAGCTTTTAGCGCACTTTTGTCGGAATTGTTTTATGCAAAATTCGCTTTATCAGCTATATATTGGTTGATACCAGTGTTGTTTCGATAGTGATACCATATCGATAGTATGTTCTCGAGAAACTATTCTACCAACTATCGATAGTCCTGTGGAAACTGTCTACCTTGATCAATACTGAAAGTATCTGAGCCGGAGAGCTTGTGGAAATGAACCATGAATAATTGAAATAATGAACCATACTAATTGCGAAAAATTGAGTTTAGTTCACAAAAAAGAACTAAATAAAATCTGACACGTAAAATTGTCAACACTATATTTTTAATATATTTCGAGTAGATGACATGAAAAGTTCGAAATAGTACATCATGTAGCCATCATCGTTACCGTTGCGGGCATTTTAAAATTATTTTTACTTTTTAAATAGGTTTAATAAACTCCTGACACGAAATATATCAAACTAATCGTGTAGACAATTTCACGGATATAACTGAATTTTGTCGATAGTATCGACAGTAATATCCCTCATTTTGACAACGCTATTAAAAAGCCGACGGTCTCGATAGTCTTATCGTTGGTGTTGTTTTTCAAGGTCGAGCTATCGATATGGAAACTAGCTGTTGTACCACCACTGGTTTAATGATAAGTAAAATTTATTGGTGTTGTTCAATATTTTGGTGTTTCTTTTTATATACACGCATAATACATATATCTATGCTTGATTCACATTTATTAATCATCATCACATCATCATCATCAGCCCTTTTACGTCCCCACTGCAGAGGCCCTCAGACTCGCGTAATATTATATGAGTGTTTTGACCAATGAATAAACCATTGTTTCCAGCGAAGACTGAAAATACCAACTTTGAAGTACGTATCTGCAGCAATTTGTATGTAAAAAAAAAGCATTACTAATAAAATGAAATTAATCAAAGGTAAAATATAACCAAAATATTTATTGATGATGATTAGAGCCCTTACACACTTTCATTTTCCTGAGTTGGCGTTCAATAAACATATATACATATCGCACCAAAATATTTATACTTTCACTGTCACTTTTGCAAAAAATACAAAAATTAGTTAAATATGTTATAATTGTCCTAAAGCTCCCTTTACTTGGTGCGATAATGTTACTTTTGTAGATGAATCATACGGAACTATGTTCCATATGATTCATCTCATCTGTATCCTCTAAAGTCATTGTTTTGTGAGGAGGCAGAGTTTAAAACTCTTCTCCTGAAAAACTAAATTTTTGCATAAGTGACAGTGTCGCACCGGGAGTGCGATATGTACATATAAAGATGTCAACATAAAATATACCTGGCCGCATACCTAACATTGAAATGGCGGCTTAAATAAAATATGTTAAGCACTCTAGGATTACACAATTCTAAGTAATTCTTTATTCTTTTATTTTTTCTTTGTTATTTTCGTTTAAGTACTAATTTTATAGGAGTTGCATTTTATAGGAATAAGTTTTGTTCGTGTTTGCTGTCCGTACTGCATGTGTTAAATAAATACCAGTCCTGTGATTCTGTAAAAATGCAAACCCGAATTAGAATTTACTCAGGTGTCTTATTTCGCTTCAAAAAGCGGCATCCGCTCAATCTTGCATTGGGAATAACGTTTCGTGGCATAAGTGAAGTGTGTTTCGAAATGACATAAGTGAAGTGTGTTTCGAAATGACATAAGTGAAGTGTGTTTCGAAATGACATAGGAATAGAATATCTGAGTTACGTTATTTCAATCAATTTTATTTTGTATTTTTATACAAAAAATAGAATCAATAGAATTTCTTCGCTAAATCACGTGAACTCGGACACGTGGGAATTTGAATTCGGGTTAGGATTATTACATAATCGCAGGGCTCTACTGGAAAAATAATAATAATTTCCCTCATAATAATTTGTTAATGCATGTTACTTGGTTCATTGGTACTGCGATACGTGTTATTTGTCATTGTATTGTAGACTAATAATGCTACTTACTGAATATATATATTGTACAATATCTATTATTATTTATATATACATACATATGCCATGTATATACATATGCCATGAAAATTATTACATATATATATATTTATATATACATATATATACATACATATGCCATATATATACATATGCCATGAAAATTAGAAACAACAGTAGTATAAAAAACAAAGACTTAATAATATCGTATGTAGAAAAATAACACCAAACTTTATAAGTACCATAATGCTTAATACTATAGCACATATGTAATACATATTTCACATTTGTACATTTCTTGTGCATGTTTTTATTTCTGTTAATTAAAAATATCTTTAAATTCTCGATGTACTATGTATGTATCTACTTTATACATCTATATATATCATATATGTATTGTTGATTGTAAGGAAGATTGTCATATCATACTTTTTTTTCAATTATAATACGTCATTTGATTTAATCATTCTACTCACTCCATTATAACAACTGGATGTTTCTTTGCAGGCTCGGTGCTTATCTCTGATCGTCTTGCATGAACAACTAACTGTATGAGTGTCAATTCTATAAAGCAATCGGTTAAAATAAGACATACCGGCGTTATATTATACATTAGGTAGGTAGGTATGCATTTGCAGAGAATCGATTGTTGTTCTATGGTACAGCTTGTGATAAAACCATAGACTACAAATGTATAGATAGCCAATGAGCACGGGAAAGTGGTATTTTGATGTGATCGTATATAGTGAATTCCGATCGGATTTGTGTCGATCCCAATTTGTACTATCTATCTCCGCAATTGGAACTAAGGTTTTCAACACAAACGTTCTATATGCTCTACTTTAATTCGATTCGTACTCGATGTTTGTTCAATTCATGAACATATAATAATTGTTAAGTAATATTTAATAACTTTAACTGGTATCACTTTTTATGTTTCGTTGTTGGCAACATTGCCATTTTGTACTTCTTTCTTTCTGGTAGCTCAATGAGTGTGCTCAACTTTATATAAAATATTATAATAAATAATTAACGTTTTCTCCTAGAAAGGTTTATTTTAATTCAACGATGTTTTTTCATACTAAAATTACTCATATTGTAATTATATTAAAGTCCAGATTATGGGGATATGTAACGACAAATCAATTAATTATGAAAGTAGAACAACTAGACATAAACATTGTTTCCAGTTTACAATTTCATACCTGAGTCAATAAACACGTTGTTTTTGTTTTTGACAGTAACATAAATATATTATCAGTAGAATATATAAAATAATATAACTGATATTTTCCATTTTATGTCTCTGTCTCTGTCGATTTATCAGCGTGAATAATCATCGAGCACTAATTGAAACTGTTCGAGTTATGTCAATTTTATATTGAATATCCTAGTTCTCTTTACGAATATAAGTGGCGTTGTAAAATATCTTTACAGAAATAGAAATTGAGTGCTCTATAAGAATTAGAATCGCACTCGATACTTTTTTTAATCAATAAAAGATTTTAAAATAGGTCGTCCGAATGGGGATGGCCGGTCAATGCTAAACGCAGATGATGCTGACGCAGCTTCTGCCGTTGCATAGTCCAATCTTAAATAAACAACTAATCATAGGCATCAAGTCGAGCACACCCTTAATACTTCTCAAAACTGCGAGATGGCGTTGAAAAAAGCTTGCATTACCGACTAAAAGTCAAGAGAGCTATTTTTTTTATTTTCGTGTTTTTGTCTTTAGGATGAAGCTACGGCAGCGCCATTTTGACAGTTGCCTTCCCATTGTGTTCCAAATATGATTGTTTTATTTTATTGTTATGTGTTACCTTGCAGTATATGCGAATCTCATCTATTTATTGTGAAGCGGGTAATAAACTAATATATGAGAACTATTTATATATATTTTCGATATACAGCATACGTTATTCATAAATTATATAGTATTTTAATTACATCTGAATGTCCAAGAAAATAATCTTACAACTTACGATACAATCGAAGGACATTTTAAAGAAAAATGAAACTTATTGGAGTTTGATAAAGAGCTATAAATTGCTTGTGCTGATATAATGAGCACATTACTGTTTTATTTATTTATTATAAAATTTATACTATTCCTGTTTTTATACTAACTTCGTTTATTGACAGATTAAAATTAAAACTAAGCTGAATAATTAAATTATTGTTGGACGATGTTGGGCTGTTTCACAGATTTGGAATGAAATCAAATTGTAAAAACTTAAGTTACATGACAATGACTTCGAATTGATATATTTTAGATAGTCAATAAAGTTAGGGTCTATATTTTTATAGACATTAATAAACCTAATTTTCAAAGATATAATACCCCATATTTATTATATTGTGATATTTCTATTAATTCAAACATTATGAAACTAGGTTTCGTACATAACTTATGTAATATTTATTATTTGTTTAAGTCTGTTTACTGTGAATTTACAAGTCTCATAGACAAAGAATATCAACAGTAAAGGAAACGAATATATATAAGCTAAATTATAAAAAAAAAATGTAAAAAATACACTGCTGGCCTAAGCATCTAATATATGTATAAAACTGTTTGGTTTTCTATTTTGAAAAACGTAAGATGCGTTAAAGTGGTAATGAATTGGTTTATTTTACAATTACAAAAAGGATGCAAAATTAGATTTTAAGCCCTGCGAAAAGTTCGATGATTTTGTAATAAGTAATAAAAAATAATACCATTGCAATTGACCTAAATCCGTTTATTTCTGGGCTTGATGGTACGTTTAAGTCGAACTAGTGTGTTTGAAATTGCATGACCACTTAACGTTTGTTGGATATTGTGTTTGGCCTTAAATTGACAGAAGCCACCAGGTGTACCAGCACTTGATCTCAGTATTGGGCACTAAGCGCTATAAACCCTTAAAACTTAAACACACAGAAATATCAAACTTAAGAAAGCTCTTGCATATTTTTGTCGTGAACTCTTTACACTAGTAAAACTCGGTTCGATTAGACAAATGAATAAAAGGCTGACTAAGCTTGAGAACTTGATTTAATTAAGGGTAAACAAAAAACTCTTTCTTCAGACTTGGTATGTAAATTAACTTTATTACATTTTTCTTGAGTTCAATCTCGTGAGCATAACAGAAACAGGTAATAAATGAATTTTAACAGTTTACTACAAATTGCTATTGATTGAAATTAAGTATGTAATGCTTCTAACTCGAGGAATTTTCACGAACTGACATTCATATAGAGCATATTGAATTACTCAAAAATTCAAATTAGGAAAAGTGAATAATAAAAATGAATTATGTTCAATATCAAAGACAAAAAGTTCGCATGCGAAAACCTAGGACCAAATAAACAATGATATGGCGCACCGTTACAGAAGTACTGTTTAAGGACCTAGGACGAAATAAACGGTGGTACGACGCACAATTACAAGCCTACTCTTTCAGAAGCGTTTTCGAATATTATTTGTTTATATTATGTGCTCCTGACACAAACTGAGATGCCAAAGGTCTTATGTCTTATTTAGAGACTTCAGTTGCATTATTAATTAAGAGAAGTTTGTTGTTTGCTCATTATAAATGAAATATATATGCTTCCAGGTTAAAAACCATTTTGATTGTATATAGGTACAATCAGAACAATATTGTTCTGATTAATTATACCATATAATTGTTTGGCGTAATTATTATATTTACGCAGTTTAGACTTTGACTTTACAAGATTTATTATATATTTGTAGTAGATTAAAGTATATACGGTCGGCATTAGAAACAATTCGTATTTATCCTTCTTTATGAAACATTGTTTACTAACTTTGATTTGACAAATTATGCTGATAACTATTTTTGTAGCCGAACATGACAGAAATTGTGATAAAATTATGTAATTATTATTATAAATAATATTTTTTTATGTTGCGAACTATTAAAAAATTAACTTGTTAATTAATCAATAAAACGCAATTTTAAACAATTAAAGTGTTTTATACTTCATTTTTAGATATATAAAAAGTTCCTGTCGTAGTTCTTAATAGTTTCGTTTCTAGTCAGTTTTCTTTTTCATAACAGAATATATATTTGTATTCTATTAAAATGCAGCGTTGTCGTCGCATTAAAAGTTTAATCAAATAAAACCTACTTCAAAAGGTAATAAAGGTTTTAATTGATTATATCCTCGATGCTGTGTCAGAGCTCGACGCTGTCGCAGAATAACATTGCTGATGTATTAAACATCAAGTGTTTAGGTTCTTATTAAAATTAGTCTGTATGGTATATAAATCAGTTATTTTTTTAAAGTAATATAAATGTATACATACTATATACTATTATTTTCTATGTAAAAATATCAAATTATTTCTTTCAGTGAACACTGTCTAAACCTTAAAATATATATAATATTCAGTAAAAAGCTGTATTTTATATAATTAAAACTGTAAATCTAATCACGTTTAAAATATACACAATAGGTATGGAAATTCAACAAAGCCCTTACCAGTTCTGAAAATGTCGTCCAAAGATTAATTTAAACGCACTATTAGTATACTGAATAATTTAGATTTATGTATTATTAATTAGTTTTAATTTTTACACGCTCACTCGCAATATGAACAGAAATAAAGTTATTGATTTGCTTATTAAGATCTGTTTTATTTCAATAAAAAAAACTTAGTACCAATCTATAAATGACGCCACTCGTTTTTAGAAAGATAATATTATAGTCCGATCACCAAACAGAGAATTTCCTACAAATACCCGGCGTTACACATTTTACACCTACATTATTACTTACATTATTAATAAACAAGGTTTAGTATCAGACTAAATTTGTGCTTAAGCTTGCACTTATATTATACAGATGTATCGGCGGAGCTTCTCAGTTCCCTTGAGCGTCTGTAGAATGTTTGCATTAGATTTATTTTCGTAAATAATGACCACGTATCACACTTCCGTTCTAAGTTATAATGGCTTCCTATTCGCCAGCGCTGGGACTTGCATACTCTAACGGCTCTCTATTCTATCCATTTCCTCCCGTCTCCTCCACCTAATCTTAAGATTTTTTTCTCTTTTCGCTCATCCTCCTCTCTTTGTTCCTTGTGGCCCTCTTCCAATCTCACTCTCGAGAGTCCTCGTCACACGACAGATTTTCTTTTCCTATTCCCTCTCTGTGGATGCTATACGACTTTGGAATTCTCTTCCGGAGATTATCAGTAAAGCTCGTTCACTCAACTCCTTCAGCGTTCAAGTTAAAAGTCATTTCCTTTCTTTATCTTAAAACACTCTTCTTAATTTAATATATTTATAACCATTATAGAACTGTTACTTCTTTCTGTATATCTATATATTTATCTTAACATATATCCGCCATTTATCAATTTATCCTTCCAAACATTGCACCCCACCCCCCTCTGCATCCCTATCGTTAAATTTACGCTTTTCACCATAGGTTGCCTTAAAGAGATTGACGTTTAGCAATAAGGCCGCCTTTTGCTTACTCCTCTTCCTAATGTGATGTTTTTATGTAAAGAGATATTAACTGTATTTTCTGAGTGCAATAAACCGCCTATTATTATTATTACTATTATTCAAAATTCACATTATTATACAGCGACTAAGTAAATTTTAAGCTAATACAGAAGTGATGTTTACTCCTAGAAGTTTATTTATTTATTTATTGTAAGAAAACCAACGGCTTTTACAAAATTAGAATAGTTGAGACTTAATATTAACAAAGAGTAAAGCTAATTACAGGTTTTCCTGAATTAAACCAATTGTATGTTCTTAACAGCTGGACTGGGATTATTATTTATAATTTAAAATCAACACAACCTTGACACTCGTACACACACACACAGTCATCATACATGTCCTTACACATCTAAGTTCGTAAGCTCCTCGAACAGTTTCTTTTATACATCCTAGAGTAACAATAAACTCTTACACCATCACTGGGCAGCACCGCAGCGCCATAGTGTTAGTAGGTTTGTTTAGTCTCTGTTTAATGACACGTATTTTGGCTAATGTGCAGCATTTTCAGCACTCCGACACTAAACTTTGCTTATTAATAACTCTGAAAATGTTTACGATATCATGCAGTAAGGCATAAAGGTCAACGAACGAAGTTTTCTCTGCACGCGTAGCAACGTCAATACGCAAATGTTCTCGAGTTCGTCATGCTACGCTTTCTGATGGACTGGACTTCAGAAAAGTACGAATTTACGGTAGAATTTTTAAAATGGTCGGTACATATTTTACTGAAGATACGTTGTGTATTGTCGATTGCGGAACAACTGACATTCAACCCTGCACATTCGACAGACGGAATATCATCTCATACGAAAAAAATCTTCAAATCTTATATTTGTCGTTTCACTTGTAGGACACAAGCCTATTAAATCTGGAACAGACGCCCATCCCACGTGAATCCAATTCTTTTTCTCTTTTCTTTCGTAACATAAAAAACATTCAACCTTGGGTCCTTTAAAAGAGGTTTAAACAGGCTCATTAGCAGGTCGACAAGATACTGATGGCTGCGGGCACAAGTTTCTACTTTTGATAGCTGTTACTATTATTAGACTATAACATCTTCTTAGTCTGTGGACTATAATATCACTTTCCATTAGATGTATTGCAGTCACTTTATCGTGTCCCAATAAAAAAAGGCTTTTTGTGCCTCGTAGGGGGAATGCTTTATGCAATGCCGCTTGACAGGCGAAAAGGGGTGTGTGGGACTCAGTCCACAGGTACTCGCACGAAGGCTAGTCAAAACGCAGATTGTATACCCCTAAACCCATTTTATATCATTATTTAACGAATATTAATTAATTGCTCGATAATTTTGTTGTGCTAAGGCTCATTTTTTTGTTTTTCTAGTACTATTTTTTTTTAGTTTTTCTAGTATCCATGCAAATGACAGTAAGATTCGCAAATGACACAGTATGTTGACCCGCCTTTTTCCTTGTACCTAACATGGACAATAGAAATAATTACAATAGAACTAATATACAATAGAAATAAAAAGTGGAATAAATAATGTCCAATATTTTGAATAATAAGTTTTCTTTATTCTTTCAAAATTAAAAGCTTCATCAGAAACATCAGTCGGTTTATATAAATGTTCGTTCATTTACTACCCAAGTACATAATTTAATATCTAATTGACATAATATTGATACGTAATCTTCCTTTGCAACTCTTGAGCTTGGATGTCGTCACTGCTTATAAAATTCACCCTTAAATTAGGTGTAGTCACAATAAACCCGTTGTTCTGGAATTTCCCTTTTATATGTTCATCAACTTCCAACCACAAGAACAGGACAATTCTGTCCACGTGTATTCTTACTGTATATCTATATTCATTATTTATAGATTTTATTTGCTTAGTAACTGTTACCTGTAACATAGTATAAATTAAAACTGATTTTTAAATATGATGTTATGTTTAAGTTAATATTTTAGGCGTTAAAATCAATAAATCACCTACGATTACTGACTCGGTATACCATTAGTTGGCATATATTTAACTTAAGTTTAGACTGATGAGTTGCAGCGTACTTCCGACAGAAGCTTAAAGGTCCGTCAGAAATGTGGGTGGATATTTCATTACGTGCAAATCGACCGTTTCAAAATGTGCTCAAAAACGTTCTTTCATAGTTTATTTAATAGGTTGACGAAAAATTTTTCAAAACTTTTTTAATATAATTTATTTGCTCCGCCTAATTTAAGTTTTCTTGTCTCCTTTTTGCCATTTTGGGGAGGGGAGGGAGTAAAAAAATCGTTCTAACGCCAATGAAATCTATCATTTACAAATTAAATCAATATTCTGAAAATAATTTCAAACTATTATCTCAATCTTCTTCACAATTGTACACTATATATATTAGGGCGGCGATAAGTATTTGCAAACATCTCCCCAGCTTTAGTTCTCATCTTCTCTAATTTTTGCACTGACGCGTAACATAGAAATTTATTTACCTCTTTCCGAAAGAGTTTGGTATTCGAATCGACAGCTCTACGTCAGTTTCTTTTATCTTCCCAAGTTATTTTTTTAGACTTATTTTTCACCGAAGCTTCATTCTTATATTGGTTATACATTTCTACTATCAATCTAATGCAAAATTGAAACAATCCAACCATGCTTTCAGTTTTCTCTTTCTATACTGGACATAACATTATGTATCACTTACTTTTATACGCAAATAGGTTTTATACCTATTACAATTACAGCGAAAGAATAAAGTGGATATGCCTCAAATCCCGAGATTAATTTTAAAGAGCAGAAAAAATCCCGTGATTTTTTAAATAAAAAGTTATTTTCTTTTACACAATTTAAACTACTGCACGCACGACGTTACCAAACTTACATTAATGACATCTGATATCCAAAGAATTAGAAATTGTCCATTAGAAAGTCCGGGAAGGTCCACATTAATATCAACATTTCGATGCAAGTACATAAATAACTCTACCTAATTCCGACCTCTGATTATCACATACATAAAACAAGACATTTTTTCCAAAATTTCCGTTCACGCATCTTCGTCCTAGTTGGAAAGTATGATTTCTGTAGACTTTTTTATCCATTAGAGTGTTTCGGAGTCAGTTATCTCTTGACCACTCCACATAGGTCTGCTGAAAGGATATTTATTAACCTGACAGATCATTCAGTAGTTCATTTGAAAGTTGGAATACGATGGACATGACAGTAAAGCTGGTCACTTTCATGAACGGACGAGAGGTTTCTCGGGTTTTTAATGGAGACTACGTCACGGCTAATCGAGTGCCAGACATCCCTTAATGAAGTGGACTGATGACCTCAAAGGTGGCCGGCAGTGACCGGTTGAATATATGAAGATCATGTTTTTGGTCACTCTAGGGGAGGTCTTCGTCCACTATTAGACTACAACAGGCTGATATAATGAATATTTAATCATAATACCTCATTACCATTTCACTTATTTAATTACCATTCTTATTAAGGGGAACGGTAATCAATGGTAATGTGATAGATGGTAATGAGGTTTATAAACATTTTCAATTGTATATCGTTATGTTTAGTAGATATGCACTTGCAATGGAATGCAGTCCCTAATAATATTTACACCAAACACAACAATTAAGTAAATTTTTGATACAAAAGATATAAGTTCCGTATTGATTTCTTATAATTTCACGCGCACTATCCATTAACTTTTGAACGCACTTTTATTTAGTTTAATTGACGTTTCGAACCCTTTACAGATTCCGTGATCATATAATAAAACTAAGGTGTTCATTGAATTTTTAATTAAGAGTATATCTTTAAACCAATATTATTGGACACATTCACAATACAGAAAAAAACATCTGTATTTTTAAGTTGAAGGTTGGTATAAACCACTGGTTTGGGATCCAGTAATTAGTCATTTAAAATTTAATCCAGATCACACATTGCAAGCCAACCGATGCTCAATGACACGTAACTATTGAAAAGAAATTGCTTAACATATTATGGAACGGTAATGAGAGAAAATTGCACGAACAAAGTCCAAAAGTACGAGATTTCTTTGAATATGTTCTTGGGTAAACAATAAATATTTAGGTTTAATTGAACTATTATAGTATCCTATAATCGAATAAAATTGTAGGTAGTTCACGGGGGAAATTTTAAAAAATATTCTTAAATGTCTTTAAATTTGGGAAAAGGGACTGGTAATGAGATTTGCGGCTTTTATTTTGTAATTTAATACTACTTTTTGTGAATTGCTGATTTTAGAATCCACATTTAACCATACTTCTTTATCGCCGGACATCCAATTTACACGAAATGAAATATTCACCCATGTGCTGCCCGAATAGGATGGTAAATTCTAAAGATTATGTTAGGCTGCTTTGGGTTCGGTAACAGATAAGACTGACAATATGATTTGATTCTGCCTATCTATAATTATAGATATATGTTGATTTCAAAGAAATAAAAATGCACGAACATATGAAATAAGTACTTCATAATTTACTGAGAAAAAACCTTTTGTAATTGATTGTTAAATTTTTAATGGATGCTTATCGTAGTTATTATTTACCTACAAAAGATTAAGCCTGACATACTCATTATAAAGTTCTTCCTATTGAATTCCCATTCATATAGCAAAGTTCGAAATTCAACATTGGCTAACTGTATAAAAAGACCAATGATATTAACAAAAAACTTACCTTAATGTTGGTTTGAGACAATCCCTTTACAGTTTTTAAGGGTTTCGGGAAAACGTAGTTGTACGGCGATGACTTCACACCGTCTGCTCGCAACGAAAACCTCAAAAATATCTCATCCGTCTGTTGATTCCACAACTTTACTATAAAACCCTGTTTCTTGGAGCTCAACGCAGGTGCGTCTGCTTTATAAGTTTGGGTACTAACTGGTACCAAACTAGTGAAATTAAATACATCAACAATAATCGTAGCGTCAATAATAGGTACGAATCTATCGTTAATAAGATAAACATCGACATCGCCGGTCTCGAGAAGCCTGGGTGATACCAAAACTGGAACGAAGAACGACTTGGCGAAATAATGTAGCATTTTCCATTTACCTCCGTACTCTGTCAAAGAAACACAAATATTTAAACCAAATAATACGAGATGTGTAATAAAAAATGCCACTGGAACATTGTTCATAAAAAAAGAATACTAATAAACCCATATCCATGTATTTCAGATGATGCATTTTCGTTGGTATTAGATGTCTATTATAATAAAACTAATATTGATGAATGTTAGATTCACCTGTCATAAATCTAACACAGATTGTAGATACGTGGTACTAACCTATTCCCGACCACGAAGGCGCTTGCCATATATCGTTCAACTGCCAGTACAAAGCGCCCATTGTATACCATTCTTCTTGACTTTGTCGGTAAAATTCTGTCTCCGTTTTTATCGCCATAGCTTGAGAAATCTTAAAAAAATTATAATTTAGTCATTGGTATATTAATCATTTAAATACATACGTTGTTTACAATTATAAAATAGAAAAAAAAACTTCCAGTAGATAAATACTCACTTGGCTATAAAAAACAAATTTTTCGAAATATTTAGAGTCATTCCTATCCAGGTGTAAATGTCTATTAATTTGATTTTCTATAGCCTCATATCCGCCAGGACTATGTTGTCTATGCTTAGAATAAAGACTGTCTACTGCGAAATCCTTAGGATCACGGGTGGCTTGTCGCATCGTCGCCAATGATGGCAAAGATTGAAATCCATATTCAGAAGCGAATCGAGTTTTCGGGTAAATATTGAAGTCCCAATTGTCTGCCATATAGTTATAATAATGAGTATCGCCATATCTTGGATCATAAGGGTTGCTTGATAGATAACCATCCATCTCAGACTTCAGCCCATTAGATGGACTTGAGACAATATAAGCATTATCATCCAAGTTTTCTGCAATCGGTCGTATCGTATCCACATAAAGTTTAATATATTCATTTTTGTATTTTTCAAATTCTTGCTTTGTACCATACCAGTTGCCTGTCAACGCTGCTTCGTTCTCATTATTCCCTGCCCACAACGCTATAGACGGATGACTTTTCAAGTTAGTAACAGTCTGTTCTACTTCAATCTTTACATTTCTGCAAAAAAAATCTGCATCAAAAATGTGCATGATACTTATTGACCAAATACTGTGAACAAATCAACTTCCAATTACAAATCTATCTAGAAATCGAAAACTTCAACCAAACAAGTGAAACTTCTAAATAGGTTTAATGTCCATCTTTCAAAACAAAAAACTGAACCCTTAGTTATAGTTCGTTTATTGGATAGAGAACACAATTTCTGAAGTTTGGAAAAAAAAGGCTTAGACTGACAGCATACCAATTATTTCTAATTGTATAACCGAATAATTTCAGCATAAAACAAATCTTACTCTAGGAATTCCGCATCAACAGGGTACATGCTGCAGGCAAATAGTAAATCCTGCCAGATGAGTATTCCGTACTCGTCACACCGATCGTAGAAGTACTCATCTTCGTACACGCCACCACCCCACACTCGCAGCATATTCATGTGCGCTTCTTTCGCCGAGAGGAGAAGATTATCAACTGCAACAAGAAGAATGTTTTATTAATCAAAATAATGAGACATGTTATATTTTCAATTTTATTTATCATAAAGAAACATTTGAATTTTGATTTATCGTAAAGATAAAATTTATCTGTAGTAGATACAGGTAAATTTAAGCTACCAATCTTAACTAAAGGATATCCAAAATATAACCTTTTCAAATTTCAGTAGGTAAGTTATACCACTGCATTCAGATAAAAAAATATGGCTCAAAATATACAAAGAATAACCAACCTATTATTGTTTAATACATAATATCTCAAGAACATTTTTAAACTTACTTCTGTCTTTGTCATAACCGTACTCTGGTAATACGTGTGCCGGAATCCAATTGGAGCCTTTCATAAATAAAGGATAACCGTTCACCTCGAAATGGAAAGTAAGACCTTGACCGAACGTCGCATTTCCTGTAAACGATGACAGTCGTTTATATCAATCAGTACGTACTTCCTCAAATAATTCCGGCTTTATGTTAATAAATGACAGTTAACAATAATAAAACTATTATAGCATTGTGTCAATTTATGTCTTATACTGACTGGATGATGTCTGGCTAAAAATAAGAAATTCTATGTTATAGAAAAAGCCTGTAAATTAGTTAATAATCCCCTATAAAATTATTAAGACTATTAATTATTATTTTTAAGAAAATTGTTATTTAAGGTCGCCTTTACTAGTGCGAAGTCGCGGGAAAACAGTTAGTATCGTATATTTTTTGAAATATTAACGTGTCTATGCTTTATTTATTACGCAATGAACACTCACTTAACTTCTCAGAGATATCTACTTGTACCAGTTCCAACGTACGAAATCCGACGCGCACATGTTTCTTGGACACTGCATTGTTTTCCTGACTGAGTACCACGTCGAGATCGTAAAGATTCTGATTACCGTAACCATTCGGCCACCAAGACCTCACAACGTTCTGGAAATAAAAACTTGTAAAGAGATATTTTTGCCTACTTATTATAAAGTATCAAGGGCCTAACCCGACACCACTATTGTTCCTGATATAAGATGATGGTAAACCCCCAGGCCTCTCACATACTTTCTACTAAGTTTTACAAATATGTACATATATTCACATGATCATCTTATTGTAGATTTCTAATGAACATGTGCAAAAAGTTCAAGGTAACTTTCTGATTATTTTCTCCACTGAGAAAATTTTATACATGTTCATTTTAGCTGTGAGAGACTCCTAACAAACATGATGTAAACTATACCTCTACATTCAGATAACAAAACATGGCTATAAAGGCATTCATAATATATATAGAACATCTTTAAACTTTCTTCTGTCTTTGTCATGGTTACGTTTTAGTTGTGAAAGAGTCCTTACAAACATGGGTAGCTTTCAAAATATTAATTATTACAACTAATAATTAGTCCAACAATCTAAAGAAACAATCTTTGTACAAAGCAGTTGAAAGTTATTGATTTTGTGTGTACGCACCTCTAAACACTGGCAGTTCCATCAATTTAATTTACCTAATTATATTAACGCAGTTATCGATGAATGTGTTCAGAGTCGTAGAAAATGAAGACTATTTGTCTCTACATTGGCTCTTTTTAAATTTTTAATGTATAAAATTATATCACAGGAATTAGTGTGTACCTCACAGACTTATGTGTCACCGTTTTTTATACTTACATCACTCAGTATCATTTGTATATTAATTTCCGCTGAACCATCGGTAGCTGTAGTTACATTTTGAATTCGCGCTACAGTCTTCGATTGATCCGCTTCCAAGTTGATTTTGGCTTCTATTTGGAACGTCATAGTCTTCACATTTTTACTAGATTCCAAGTAAGCTTTGATGTCCAAAATCCATAAATTATCTTTCAATTTGGTATGTGTCGTTACTGTTTTTATAAGAGCAACGTCAAAAAAATGAATTTTTGCCGTTTTCCTGCAACACATTAATAATATTTATTCCAGTAGAATGATAGTTTTCAGTGTGGTTGCTACCATATACCTTTTATTTATTCAGTTCCCGACATTCGGCGCCATGATCACTATCAAATATAGGGAACCTATTGAATACAAGATACATGGTAGCAATCTCGTAGAAAACCATCAATCTAAAATTTATTCCTTTTAATCCTTTCCAAAGTTATCCTGTTTTACAATTTGACACTAATTTAAGATATTGTTTCACTAAATCCTTACCAAAGACCCACAGATGGAAACGCCGGACCCCAGTCCCAGCTAAAGGAAGCTTGCATCTTCCTGAGTTGGTTTACATGGCATTCCCCGTTATACTGTTTCGGCACGCACGCTGGTAACGTGAAATGCTTCTCCGATCGATGCTTAGCAGCCTCCACAGGAGACTCGAAGCTTAGCTTTATCTCATTTGGTCCTAACTGGAATTTAATTAGGCATGTATATACATTAAGCCGATGGTGTGGTTACATTTATGAAATTACAATAAAATAATTATTTCCTATAGGTACTTCTACGTATTAAGAAATAGAATTTTCGCCATATATGATTCTATCACATTTTTAACGTTTCGGATAGTAAAAAAACCAACGCATTGAATGTAGTAAATTCAGAAATTGCGGACACTTAAACTGTTCCTCAAATTTTTTTTTAACGTTGAATTGTCGTCTTCTGATATATTAATGTGGTCAAACTGATAGGCAGCTTTGAAGCTTTGTTTGTTCTTGAACTCGAGTAAAGTGATTTTGAAATTCAACGTGTGAATATGACTCAACTCTACTCTTACAACATCAAAGAATAAATATATACTATTAGAACGCCTTCAAGAACCGTATGATTAGAAAATAAACAATAAAAATATCCTCTTCTCAAGATTTACCTTCAAATGTTCTTTAACATCAATGGCATATCTCACGAACATGTTATTAGTTGTGAGAACCGGAATGCCGTTAACTTCCACATAAGCAATCGTGTCAATTCCATAAAAGACTAGACGAGCAACTGCTGAACTCAATACATCTGCACTTACTGTAATTTTTATAATGAGTACAATTAATAACAAGTCAAAAAAAAAATCTTCAACTTTCTCAATTTCATAAAAAACTTTATTACCTACATTACTTTGTGTGCAAAACTTGTGCAAAATTTTATCATGATACTTGCGGCTGACCAAAAATGCATCCCTAGAGTGATACGCGAATAAGAATGAATAAAATCTCTATTCAGATTAAACATTGCAAAACCAATAGATACAGTTAGTTCATTATATAAATATTAAATCAAAGGGAGCAATTCACTTTTCTTCTTGGAGTTTGTTTCGCCAGTTCTTCTCAGACAAGACTCCTAAATTTGGAACTGGTGGTAGAGCACGATAATTTAGAAAATAGAAGCCACCTATTGAAATACCAGGGGTAAATAAATAAGTTAAATTTATTTTTAAATAATTTAAATGTAAACGTTGCCATCATTTTTTTTATATTGCGAATGTGTCCTATGGTTTTGGTTTGAAGGTAGTTATACTCTTAAAAAAACAATAAACACCTTAGTCTGAACACGGAACCTGTAAAGGGTCCGAAAAGCAAAAAAAAAACTGAACATAAATGCGATGAAACCGCATATGAAATCAATATGATCGGTTAAGTAGTCCTTAAAAGACCATCGCGGCACACACACATCACTTGCTACTATTCAGCGTAAAAGTTATAAATTCTGGGATAAATATCATATGTAATTTACTACCCAAATCGTAGGAGTTAATCTGAGCTAAAAGTTCTTAAATTATGTAAATTTAACAAAACAAACAACGAAAGGTGACTTTTGTCATTAATTATTCCGATTGGGTTTGAACTTCCATTAGGATTTACCATTAAACCTTCCGGTATATGTCCATGTGTCATAGGCGACCCATCTTGTTTGCACATCGTTGAAACCCGCCAGAATGTCACCAATGACGCCAGCCTTCATCAGGTCCGAATAAACACCGCCGGGAACCGAACCAGGCACCCTGATAGCTACAACGTGTCAAGTGTTACCTACATTATGTCTTTAACTTGATATAATGTAGGTAATATTTAAACATATTTTCTACTTACTTACGATATTACGATACTTTTTAAATTTGATTAGAGATGGGAAAAAGTACCTAATTATGACTTATTTATTTATTTCGAAAACGAAATCGAGAGCAATTTCTTATATTTATAAATGTTTTGTATTAATATGTAGTACAATTTTAGCGTATGTGTTGTACAATACTAATTATGGACTTTATTACCTATACAAAACAACAATAGAATAGAATAGAATAGAATAATTCTTTATTGTACAAAAACACCAATAAATAAAATAGGTAACAATAATATAGGACAAATAGTACAATCGGCGGGCTTATCGCTAAGAAGCAATTTCTTCCAGGCAACAATTAAAACCGCCAACCAACTACAGCAAGACGCTGAGTGAGTGTGTTCGACTTTTCCAAAGTAAAATACTGAAAACGCCATTTAATAATATTTCTATGCTTTTTAATTTTCGTAACTTTGCTATTTTAAATGTAATATACCAACATACTTTACCTTATCCGTGTTTTCTTACATTTTTCAAAGGGAACTTTAATATTTACGATCATCAGTATTACTATGATATTACACAGCACACACCAGCTGTTGTTAACGTGTCAATGTGATGGATTTGAGAAAGAAATAAAAGTGCGTGAGGAATATCAGATACAACTTCAATGATAGAGTCAGTCATAAATTAATCGTGAGCATATCGTCCTGTAATGTCGGTAGCTGTAGAAGAACAAAGAATAAGCTGGGAGACCAAGAGTTTCTTCCTTCTCGGAGTATATCCAAAAAAACATAGGAAACTCTATCACAATATAGAAATAGCAATCTCGATTTAGTCACAACAAAATCTCTGCTTTAGGAGCAGAAATATTATTATTATAAATTAACATCAATTATAAAACTTATAAAATACGCTTGTCAACACTCACTTACTTACATCCATTTTTATTTTCTAATGTCCAAGCTGCATTTTTTGAATCCAAACTTATTTCAACATTTACACAATCAATGATTCCATTAAATAATAAAATAACGCAGATTACTGTTAAAAATGACTTCATACTTGAGTTAGTATTAAACGAAATAATACTGAATTCTTCTATTTTAGAACACATTATACTGAGCGACCTCTTCAACTGGCCATTTCCTCGGTACACACGTATACGATAACAGGTCGGCACCGAACACTTATCGATAGAAAAGAATTAAACGATATTCAATGTTTATAGTAATTAGAATTGATTTTGTATATATTTATATCTGCTAATTTTCTTTTCAACTTAATTAAAATTATATAAATGTTTTTTTAACGACATTTTAAGTTTTTAATTGCCGGAATAGTGCTCTTTAGTGATAAGATGAAGAGTCATGAACTACAAAATTTTTGTTGGTATTCTCTTATACATATTTATTAATGTAGACGTGCATGAACCAGGGAAGCTGGGCTTGGCGCAGTCCCTGCCGGTTACCAAACCCTTTTTTTCGTTTCCGCTAAAGTTAGGAGTCGCCCAAATACATCACCTTTATATTTAAGAATCGCCTAAGGTAAAAATGTATTTCACCCTTGACTAGAAGCCACCTATTGAAATTAAGCAATGCCTAAAGTTATGCAGCGCCTTACGCTAGGCATTTGCTTATATGACAAGCCATAAATATGTCAAGGGATGACAGAAAAAAATATTGATTTGGAATTAAACTAATCTGGACTGGATTGCCTAAAATCCATTTTCCAGAGATCTTTATTTAAGGCAGTTTTATTCTGTTATGCATCATGACTTTTTAAATAAAGGTGGTGATAAAATCTTTCTCTAAAACCTACAAATTGTCTCACAAAATCAATTGTCCATATTAAAAAGTTTTTTATGCATTTTGACTTTGACAAATACTATGTTGTTTTCTCGTTTCGAATTACAGCATATTTGAACGTTATTTCTCGATACTAAACCATTTGACAGTTTTCATTCAGTCACAGATTCAAAGAATTATTTTTGGTGTGTGCACTTCAACTTCAACTGTTTTAAAAAAAGTTTCTAGTTCATTTATATTGACAGCGTCCCAACACTAGTCATTATCTACGTTACACTCAGAGTACTGTATAACTACACACAGCATCACATCACCTTACTACAAAATTACTAAAGTTCACAAACAATTTTAAACATTACTAGCAACGCATTAGGTATAAAATCAAGTAAACATATTTGAATTTTGTATAATCTTAGAGCTATCGACTGTACCTACACATCGAGTTGACTTTCGCATCTAAAATTACTGATAGAACCATTGTATGTTGTTTACAAAACTGACATGATAAGCCCGCTATTGATAAATGTTAGGTATAATGTTATTATTCAAACGCATCGTGTTTATTTGATATGACAAGAACTAAATATAAAGATTCTAGTGAAAATATTTCATACCAATATAGGAGTTCATCATCAGCCTATTAATGTTGCACCGGCACTAGTCTTCCCCATAATGGAATATAGAGAACATTATAGACATGGCCATACACCCTTCTGTGTTATGTGGCCATAAACCACCAATGCAGTGGGTCAACACGTGGGTGGTGGGTTAATGACCGCTGATGTAATTCTGCTTATGGTACCATGATAGGGGTGATGACTGTATAGATAAATTAATAATACTGAATACTTTCTTTTTTGCATAATGAATGAATTACGATACATTGAGTTGAAATGTCTCATGACGTAACGTCTTTTTACATTTTCTACACAGTTGTGACGTAGCGAGCCTCCACTCCTCAACTTCAATGGCTTTTATCTAAGGCATTTATTGTTAAATTAAAGCAAAAAGAGACATTAATTTTAATGTTGGGATTTTAGAATAAAAATATGACGGCAAGGACCCTGTTTTAGGTCTATACAAAAAAAAATATATTCGTTAGTTGCGTTTATAATCTTTAGTCAAACTTCAGTATAGGGTGGTTGTTGAACTTATTTAAATATACGTAATCTGTGATATACAATACAAATAAATACACTAGCAATGTTATTATTTTTTCACGAATGTATTGTCAATTATTTACTATACTAGCTCTGTTATGGCTGTTATTGATTTTATTTAGTTGCGCGAAAGTTTGCAATACTAAAATTCTATAAAAAGTTGTTTCGATAGAACTTTAGTAATCAATTTTTATTTTTAGGCACAAAGTTAGCTTTTTAGTTAGCGTTATCAATTCTATCTTCTTCTTCTTCTAACTTTAACGGCACTTTGCGTCACCACAATGCTGCCAACTTCAACAACATTGCACGATTTAAAAACATTAATTCAACCAAACAATTTTTACATCAAAATAGAATACATAAAAAGAGGAGACAATCTTCAATCAGATTTGACAGACTTGATAACAGTTTCTCTATGCCTATCTGATTTTGAAGTGAAATACCAAATATATAATTGTTTATAAGTTTTAATATTACTATATTAGCCACTTAGTACTTTAAATATGGATAGAATACCATTATTCCAAGAATACAGATTGATTGAACGAAGTGAAAGTCAAGTAAACGGTGTTTGGAAAGGTATTAGGTATAAAGCTAGTTACTATTTATAATGTAAAAATATTACGATTACGAACGTTTTCACGATACGTTTTCTAATTGGTTTCTAATTATTGCAAAATGTCCTTTGACCAAGCGTTCGGGTCAGTTACTGGAAACAACCTTGCCCATAATATAAGTTCTTTGACGTAAGAATGCTACAAAAAAACATCATTACACAACACACTAATCTAAATCCATTTAGAACCTATAACAATTGAGCTTTACACAAAAAAAGCTAAAATGACCTCATACTGAATAAATCAAAAAACTTTTTTAACTAGGTTTAAAACCGCCTTTATCTCTTATAATTTTAAATATTCATGTCTTAGAATTTTTAAAATATATTTTCATGACTAGGTAGGACATTTTGTTTTAAACAATATAATACAATTATTTTTTATTTAACAAAGAATGCAGTAGGCACCTACGAGATGTTATAGCATAATTATATATCAATGTTAACGCATCATCCAAAAAAATGTTGCACCATGATGATTGTAAGTATGTAATCAACTTGAAGTTCATCGTTCAATGTCAAATTATATCTTAACATAATGTTGTAAGTGGCCAGGTGTACTGAGGTCAAAGTTCTTACTTACAACAGTTGTAATGGAAGGTTATTCAATTTGCAGTTCTGTAATGGACAAGGTCATTGGCATAACCGATTATGTATAGTATAATACTATTTTAAAAACGAATTATCTAAGTTAAGGTCTTATCGCTTTCATTATTGTGATGGAGCTAGCACGGTCATCGATGCATGCTCAATAAAAGATAGTTATGTGTTTGATTAAAAATACCTATTCAACGTGCCTAGTTCAGTTTTTTAAAAGATTTTTTTTTTTCACATTAACAGGATGGTCTATACACTTTTTTCCCCTAACGAAAATTGTGATAATTTTGAATCGTTCTTATAATTTTGTAAAAATCATATAATTGAGAATAGGGATGACATCTTATTTTTGTTGTTTGTTTGTGCGTCAGATAGATTGTTGAAAAATATTAAACACGTATTTTTTTCGTAATCATTTAATATACATTGAGTTAAAATTTCACATAACGTCACGCTTTTGTACATTTTCTACAAAACGGTGACGTAGCGAGCCCCCACTCTCAAATTTAATGTCTGTTATATAAGTTATTTCTTGTTAAATTGAAGTAAAAAAAGATGTATATAAAATTATTCTATTATCTGACTGATGGAACTAAAATTCCTTTTTTTTTACCCAATCATCTATCCCTATTATAAGTACGTCAGAGGCAGGACTTGCCCTGGCTCCGTTGCATCGTGCATGCAAAATGCATTTCTTTGAAGTCATATAAGCGTGTTAGACGAAATTAAGTTTTCAAAGAAACTCAGTAAGCCTTCTAGACATTGTAAACAAACAAATCTAAATAACGAAAGATCAATACTAATAATTAAGAGCCCAACTGTACGCTTATGTTAACGCCTGTCTGTATGTTACACTTTCAAAGACAAATCAATAGTATAATTGCTGATATAACAAGCCAATTTTTTCGCTTAAAAGATATAAAGATCAGACATCTATTGCTCCTATTTTCAGGCGTCCACCTACTTATCTTCTTTATGGCCTTCGTGTTTGGTTCCTTCTGCACGTTCTGCTTCCACATGCTGATGTATCTTTTCGATGAGAAGTGCGTGCTGTTTCCGAAACTCCATTCGCTGACGTCGCTAAAGCACAACGTTATTTATGAGTTCTTTCCAATGGATAAAGAAACTTCGGACAGTATGAATTTTTTCACTGTTGACTTAGCTTAAGATTGATGCTTTACTGTTATTGAGCTTACTGTTTAGTAAGTTTCCGTAAGTACTTTGGAATAAGAAACAATTAAAACACTCACCAGCCCTTTTACATCCCCACTGCAGGGGCTCAGGCCTTCCTTATGGATGGCTAAGGAGGATGGGCCATGACCCTCCACGCTGGCCCATTGCGGATTGGAGGGTATTAACGACTGCAAATGTAGTCGGGACCAACGGCTTAACGTGCCTTCCGAAGCACGGAGTAGTTCAAGATAATAATTTTTTGGTCACCCATCCCGTGACCGACCCTTGCGAAAGTTGCTTAACAACAACGATCGCGGGCCGCAGCGCTTATCCACTACGCCACCGAGCTACTCACACTGCTTAATATGTAATTTGAAAGGTGATTTTAGTGTTATGAAATAAGTATTTAATTTTAATATTTTTAATGACGGACGGATCGTGAGTTTACTCATTTTTCAGTTTTACCAGAAACTAACTTTGAAACAAAATAAAATTAATAAAAGCCTTTTTACTATTAACAACGATCAACAAAATTCATTGTCGTTTTGACTACGGAAATTACTCGCACCTGCGGAAGGTAATATTTTATGCTTCCGTATAGGGATCCAGTTTTCAAAACTGGTAATTGATGAATTACCATATATTTTTTACATGACAGTGTCCGATGTTGTTTATATCTAACTAGTTGTTTCCCCGCGACTTCGCCCGCGTAAATTATAGCTATATATCACCCGTGTACCGCGAATGATGTAGCTTCTCGTAGGTGAAAGAATTTTTAAAATCGGTCCAATAGCTTCAGAACCTATTCATTTCAAACAAATATTAGTACAAATTCTTATTATTTATTATTATTTTCTAAATATTAGTATAGACTTATCTAGATATTTAATATTTTTCCTGTAAATCTAGATTTAGTAACATAAAATTATGGTGGAATTTCGGGCTCTAACATGAAACATATCTTTTATCTTGGCCATGTAAATGCACCTTATATATCCTCCTTATATCTGTATCTGTTATCAATTAATAAAAAATTACCGTGAGCATATGCTTTAGGTGATTTCCCCTGGTGACAATGGGAAAATCACCTAAAGCGTACTCAATGACCTATACATACCAAGCAAGAAAGTCAAGGAAATTTAAAAAGTCAAATGTAGTACTATATACTATAATTGTGTATTGAATTGCATGATTCAAACTAAGGTGGAATGTTTCAGTAGTATTAGATGGAGATTGTGTTTAAAAAAATATCGTAAACCGTTTTAAAAATATCTTTTTAGGATAAGTAATCTGACGTATTTTCTAACACAGCAAATCAGAATTTATTTCTGTTTTCACAAAATCTTTGGTTATTCTATATTGATAGAATTATTTAGTTGTTCCTAAAGACACGTCTCTATATTACGCTATAAACGGAAAACTCAAGAGCTATTATAGACATTGGAATTCATAAAAAAATACAATAGTAGTTTAATGGTGCTAAAAATATCTAGTATGATAACTGTTATCTTAAGCTCCTATCTAGTTTTTACACAAAACTTTTATGATTATCAGCTTTATTGATAAACATAGGTATTTCCTTAAAATATATAGTCCAATACAGAAAGTCCTTAAACAAATATCAATTCGCATCTTAATTTAATACATCATTATGCTTGAGGCTGGGCATAAATACAAAAAAGGAAACATAACGAAATCAACACGAGAATTACGTAAGGTACGTCATAAGCTAAACTAAATATAATTAAATAGGTCAAAAATACCTTAAATATGTTTTTTACAAGTGGTCCGAAAAAGCCTTTGCAATAAAGTGCATCGTTTTTATCAATTCTTCTTATTAAAAAAAATAATAATTTGTGAATGTCACGGGTTATTTTGTGAAACTTTTCTATCACGTTATAATTTATGTTTTAACTGTGACAAAACCATTAAAATAATGTTAATTTATCATTCTTAATTACAGTTTATTTAGAGGTTTTTTATAATACAAAAGAAACGTTAGCAATTTTTGGTGCATCGTGTACGGAAGCATAATTATTACCAAGGCTGACCAGCGTTATTAACACTCTCTTTATTTGATTAAGATTAGGTGGTTCCATACATACGTAGTTTTTGCTTAGATTACGTTCATTTCCTGAAATATCAATACAAACTTCGAATAGTTACCTATAGTTTTCTAAATGACAAAACAATTGAAACTCTTTGGCTCAATTCGTAAACAGCCGCGTACGTGTCATTCAGCGCAACAATGTCACCTCAAAGATCTTCAATAAAATAAAAGCTTTATAACCTTTTGAAGAAGGTTTTATTTGATTGTATCTTTATTAGGTGACAGCGCTGCGCTCGACGACGAGTTCGAGGTTGTTTTTATAACAGAATAAAAAAATCACCGGAGAAGATAACGTCAAGCAAATCGCTAATAGTATTAGAGTACATACAAAAATGTCACGTGCATGTATCTAAAAAAAATATCTTTTTATTCGTACTTCATTGTCGTAGTAGTTTCTCATGGTGGAATATGATCTTCAGTGCTACCGGTGGACTTTCTTAGCAGTCAGTGGGTGGAGAAAAGCGCCTGCTACTTGCCAACGTACGTGCCGCTATTGTCTGGCATCTTCGGCCTCGTGTGGACCACGATGTTTCTCATGTGCTCCACCGGCACACGGACGCATACTGGGTATTATATCTAACATAAATCCGTCCATAAGAATAAAAAACTGAATTCATCATTCGATAATTTTTTATAGATTCATTACCTTTTATTTCTGTAATATAATGTTTTTTTACTAATGAAACTTTGCCAAACTGAACATTCGCATTATACACGAAAAAATTGTAACCGGTGCACATATATCTATCAGAATACAGCATCGAATACAGCGCTGTGGCAGCATAAGGGTTTCAATCAAGTACAAGTTTTATTACTTTATTTCATTGAACCTCTAAGGGTATTTGGGCTTTTAAAATAAAGTGAGTTATAAAACCCTGATTTCTCAAAATTAGATACCTATGTTTAAAACCTCCTCTGTCTTCCTTATTCTTAATAGAATTGGACTGCTCTAGTAACAAATTTTATTATTTAAAGATGCGAAAACAACTGCAAGTGTTTTATTTCGTAGACTGTGATAAAAGAACTGAAACAATAATCTTATTCAGTTAACAACAATTCTCTGCGAATAAAATTATTGTTTTAATTTTATTCACCCTTAAAAATCCAAACCTAATGTTTATTTACCCTGTTCTTAGATAAGACAACTAAATAGATAAGTCCCGATAACTAATCTATTTATTCACTACGAATGCACTACGTAACTAAAATAAGGAAAGAAACTACTTATGTATGAATATCAAGTTCAATGATCTACATTAATTTAAGAAAACCAAATATTGGGTGGGACTTGTCGACGTATCTTACAAAATGTCGGTTTCGCAAGGACCTCTTCCTACAGTCCCATTGAGGTTTTAAATTTAACCTTTTAATAAGTATAATTAATGTATAATTGTTAAGGTCAGCCGCATCGTTGATTGCATGTTATACCTAATTTATTAAAATCAGGTTTTATTTAAACTTTCATCACAACGTCCTTGTCAGTTTCATAATGTTTAATAAACTTAATTTTATACTGATCATTGTACTTATTAGGTAAATGAAAATCCGAAACATTGTAAAAAAAATGTTAGACAGCATTAAAATTTTTGTTCCGTAAAATAACAGCGTCGATGACAGCGCTGTAGCAATATTACAAATTCATTAAAATATATAGTTACCTTTTAAATTTAGCTTTATTTGATCAATACTTCTGACAGCGCTGTATTCTTATCAGAATAACACTGCAGAGCCTAATAGCAGTCGTTTGTCAAGTGTCTGAAACAACGAAAGTATAACATCCAGAACGAGTCGATATAGAAAATTTCGTGTTTTAAATTGATTCGGCTCGAAATGGACCCACGACCTCAAAAATTTTAATATAAATCAAATATATTATTTAATTTAGTTAGTGAATTTAACAAATTTTTAATTTTTAATGGTATAATTATCTTATAAAATTTTTATTTATATATTAAAATAGCACATTTTAGAAAAAAAAAACTGATATTGAACTAGTGAATGAACTAAATAAATATTTTAAAATAACGTTTGCGAAAGAGCTCCATAGTAACAAATCATATCTGAGAGACGAAATTTACTACTAAGTATACATTTACCTATATGTATATTTTAAATTAGCATTGATTGATTGATTTGGTAAATTCTATTTTTGAAAGCAAATTAGTTTGCTACGCCCATACTTTCAGTCAAACAATACTATGTAAGTGGTAAATAGGTGAAAAAAAATGAACAATGCAAAGTTTAAATTATAGTACGTAAATATTTTTTAATGAAAAATGCTTAAAAAATCCGCTTGCGCCAGGTACTCTCAAATGGGACTGGAACCAACGACTTTTCGCAATCCGGGCGACTGTTCTAACCACTGACCTCTACCCAGGACCTAACAGGACTGTCGAATTTTTCAAGCACTTGTTACTTTTTCACTACTACAGTGCGTGTTTCCATCAGTGTTCAGGCAATCCACCCAAACAGCGTTGTGAATGCAAAATAATAAAATGTAATTAATATTTATTCAATAAGGGGAATAAGGCATTGACTTAACTTTTTAACTAGTGAAAAAGGGAATGTTTTTTTTGATACTTTATTCCGAAAAAATCCAACCACTATAAAGAAAATTATCATCGCACCTAGACTCAATCTTTCATCAAAGTTTCAGGCCTGAAAGTTATCCTGTTTTAGAGAATTAAGTTGTAAAAATGATTTTGGTTTGCCTAGAAATAATAGAATGCATAGCCATAAAACTCGTTTTAAAAAATAAAGCGCAGAAATTTAAAATAATCTCTAAAGGGTCTTTGTCCATAGCCTAGCTTTCTTTCTTAAATTTCTTAAATAAAATTTCTTAAAATGGGGATATTCCGATGATTAAATTAAAGCATATGTTAGTTGTAATCAAAAGATTTTTTATCTAGTAAAATTACCTATATTAAAATAACGGTAATACCCCAAAGCGCCTTATAGTAACTTAGCGTATCTAGTAGACGAATCATATATCAATATTCTGAAAATCGAATTCATAATTTGTTAACTACGTATTTATTATTATAAGCCACGCACCGAAAAGACTCAACCAATCCACGCTGGCCTCGCGTGATAGTCCATGACGCATTCTCCCTATTCGATTTGATTGGATTCCATCCTCTTTCCACAGGGAAAGTCTATGCCTCAGCAGTAGGGATCTTGCTGAAATACCTAGTCCAACAATTAATAAACATTTTATTTATGTGAAACTCTAATACTATGGCAGTGTACGCTGCGTTCGACGCTGTATTGTTGCAGAATAGCAAAGTTGAGTGCTTTGTGTGAGATGTTGTCTTATATTTATTTTGACATTTCTTTTGTATTGCCAGTCTACAGAGGCCATGGCGAGTTCTACCACCTGTCTTCATATTCTCCTTGGTAATGGGTAGCCTTTGCATCTACTCTTCGACGGTCACTCACTACGGACTTAATGAGTTGTGCTTAAAGTTAGGGGAAATCACTGGCAGTACCACGTAAGTAATTGTAAACGGCAACGCTAAAGCAGTGCATTAGTTCAAAATCAAAGAAATTAATAATTTTTTACATCAGTTTTTAATTTGCTAAAATTATTATAATGAAACTTTCGCGTTATTTATATATGGCTTACTGTTCGTCCCACACACGTCCATTAAAATTGTTATTATCCCCTCCACGCTGTGATAAAAGGGATTGGAGAGTATGAACGACTGCAAATGCAGCCGGGGCAACGGTTTAACGTACCTTCTGAACTACGGAGTAATTCGAGATAATAATTTATCTTTGGTCACCCATCCCGTGACTGACCCTTGCGAAAGTTGCTTAACAACAATGATCGCGAGTCTCGACGTTTATTAACTACGCCACCAAGCTACCATTTTCAACCGAATTGTCAACATGAAATATGGAATAAAAAAAAAAGAAACGTCAGTGTTATCACAATCATTGCAAGAACGGTACATAGGGAATCTTACTCAATGCAAGAACGATACATAGGTGATATTTTCCGCGGAGTCCAGCGCCATCTTTCATTAATTTCATTTTACACGTAGAAATTCATTTATTTCACTTGACATTGGCAGAACTGTGCGAAATGCGTAGATAAGCCATCAATAAAAAAAGAAGAGGAATCTTATTCTGTAGGTGTTACGGAAGATGACTAATATTTTTTCGTTTGTCCGTCAGGTAAATTTTTAAGAATTTAAAATCAATAAATAATGGCAATATGTTGAGTTGAAATTTCTCATGACGTCACACTTTTGTACATTTTCTACACAGTTGTGACGTAGCAGGCCCAAATCAACTTGGATGCCTTTTATCTCTGTCATTTCTTGTTAAATTGAAGCAAAAATAAAATACTAACTAACTGTTTAAATAGAATTATCCATTTTTTACCCAGTCGTCATCCCTACTATTGGAGTCGTTTAATTTGAAAATTCATAATGGAAAATAAAAGGGTACGAGCTACCAACCGGTGCAAAAAAAAAGGTAATTTTATAATACAATTGTATTTATTCAGTTACATGCCACAAGAGGTGGACCCCTATGTCGACGATCTTGAATTATTCAACAATACCTAATGAATTTGCAGTGCATAGCAATTGCTTCGACAGTGGCAGTCTATATCAGTTTACTAATTCTTATACCTATTGTAGTTTATGAGTAGCTTTAAATGCTTGCTAATCTATTGACGCCCTGTGGAATGTCCCCTATGTCTTCATTTTTGTCCCTGAGGGTGGAATCTAAATAATTATAGAATCAACTTTGTACCAAAGAAACTGGAGTGCTATCTATACCAATATTATAAAGAGAAAAGAGGTCTGTTTCTTTACATTTAATAAGCACCGATACTTACTGACTGATTTTTGAGTGACTGAGTCTTTCTCCGGAAAGCTAATATGAGCCGATACATGCTATAATTTACGCATGCGAAGCCGCGGGAAAACAGTTTGTTCATATATAAATTTATGTAGTTAATCGAAGCTAAACAGCATTATACCCTTGTATTATGGATATCGATACGCGTTTCTTTATTATCGGTTTCAAACAATGACGTTTTATTTATATATTTTACATTATCGCGTTTTAAAACAACATAAACTTTTAAAAGGGCGCGAAGAAATCAAAAATAGTTCTCTCCCTATCAGAATTTTCAGCATACCTCTTGTTAGAATAAGATAAACATATTTGTATAGAAGTGCCTAAACAAAGTTGCGACGCTACTTAATTTGACAGCTATATAGGACGTCCCTAATGCCCGTTTTCACTAAATTTAGGAGTCGTCCAAATCTGTCACCTGACTATTTAGGAATCGCCTAAGGTAATAATGGATTTCCACATTGACTAGGAACCATCGAACAAAATTAAGCAATGTCTAAATTTATGATATTCGTTACGCAGCGCCTTGCGCTAGACGTTTGCGTATATGACAGGTCATAAATATGTCAAGGCATTAAAGAAAAAAAATATTTATTTGGAATTAAACTAATCTGGACTGAATTGCCTAAAATCCAGTTTCCAGAGATCTTTATTTAAGATAGTTTTATTCTGTTATGCATCATGAGTCATGACTTTTTAAATAGAGGTGGTGATAAAATCTTTCTTTTGATTCTGAAAAAACTATTACTCTAAAACCTACACATTGTCTCACGAAAATCAATTGTTCATATTAAAAAGTTTTTTCTATAGAGAAAATTATACTATATTACGCATTTTGACAAATACTATGTTGTTTTCTCGTTTTGAATTACAGCATATTTGAACGTTATTTCTCGATACTAAACCATTTGACAGTGTTCATTCAGTCACAGATTCAAAGAGTTATTTTTGGTGTATGCACTTATGTACTAGTTGCAAAATAGTCAAGAAACAGAATAAATATTTTACAATAAAAATAAAAAAGTACATCTTGTTTTGGTTCAACTGTATAAAAAAAGTTTCTAGTTCATTTATATTGACAGCGTCCCAACACTAGTCATTATCTACGTTACACACAGAGTATTGTATAACAACACACAGCATCACATCATCTTCCTACAAAATTACTAAAGTTCACAAACAATTTTAAACATTAATAGCAACGTATTAGGTATAAAATCAAGTTCTAGTGATCATTACGAGTTTACTGTTTAGAATGAATTTCGAGCTTTACTGTAGGCCTCTTTTGTAAATTTCTTGAGTCCAATAATTTGGACGTCATTGATATCTAGTTTTAGCAACCACCTTTTTATGCATTAATGAATTAATCTCTTCAGTAAGCCACTGAAGCCACTTCAAATAAACAATGGTAACGTTTTAATCCCCCATAAAAAATATCACTTCCATTGTCATCCCTTTAAGTGCTAGTTTTCAAGATACAATATAACCTATTACCTTCCTAGGACCTTAAACTACCCAAATACCAATTTCCATCGTTATAGGTCCAAAAACAAAGAAATTTCATACAAACGTTATCACCCTTTTTGACTCCCTTTGGGTACGAATTTCCAAATATCCGTTTTTAGGATACCTCTGCGTAATAAGACGAATGTACCTTCAAATTTCAAGTCTCTACGACCAGCGGTTTAGACTGTGCGTTGTCTGTCAATCAGTATGTCAGGACATCTCTTTGTATATATGTATAGATTATTGCGTCAAGAACAATTCACTTGAAACCGATGAGCTTCAAGCTATTATAACCTTAAAATTTTAGTTGTAGAAGTGGGTTCCACCGCATTGAATGCCGTCCACACCTTGGCCGTCAACTTGAAATTTCGAAACACAACTAAATGACAAGTAAATTTCTTCACGAACTTGTAGTGATTTATGTTGAATATAAATATTTATCTCTCATGTTTGTCAATTTGACGATTTAACCTTTAAGAAAAAAAAACACAGCCATAGAAAGATACATTTTTATAGTCATAAGGTTTAATGACGTCTTTAAGCGCTGATTTTTACTGACAAATTTGTATGGGTAATGTCACTTTAAACTAATGACAATTTTAATAAACGTTTGTACAACTGGCAGTCAGAATCTTAATAAGTTTAATTACAAAAAAAAGTAAATAAATAAAATAAGCAAATAAGCAAAGCAAATAAGTAACTGAGAAAGTTTCATGGATTACTTCATCGACAAAATACTTAAATATTATGACAGTTTAATTTAAGTAGACAGTTTATTGGACAACAACGGTCAACGTCACACAACTCACTGCCAGAACCTTCTTCCGTGGTACGCGGGCTGGTCCATATAGGCAAACTAGCCAACTGCCTAGCGCGCTCATATTTGAAGGGCGGCTAGGCATTATCTATTTTATTTGAAGCCATCCAATACCTTAAAAAAGGTTGAAATTTTTTGTTCTTTCATCTTGAATCCAAAAAGAAAACAAAATTGTCAGACTAAAGGCTTTTTTTGTAATTATCAAAAGAAAACTCTTTAATCGGCACATTTCTCTTTTATTTGTAGTTATTTTTTATGGACCTCGTTCCAGTGTTTTGCCTATTGTGCTTAGTTTCATTAATTTACATGAAACTAAGTTGAAATGAAATTAATTCACAGGCGTTGTAATTTATAAATTATGATAACAGCTGCTCATACACAGTAAACGTAGCAACACTAGCTTACGAGCGACGCATCCGTGGTGTCTACCAAGCCATCCGTTTGACAATTATATCGGCATGGCTTCATACCATGTGCTGGCTCCTGTCGGCCGCTCTGGTTTTGGTCAGAGTAGCGCTCGCAGTGGACTTTCAACTGGTGTGCATCAACGTTTCCCTAGTCGGAGACATCGACAAAATACTGGTTCGTATTGACTTAACATAAAATCGATATAGAACAACATAATATTTCAATATAGTAGTCAGACAGTCGTTCAAATATTTTCCTATAGTCCGTTCCTGGGGCAGGGGAAAATAATTACAAACAATACATGTAGTCCTTATACTTCTGTATTGTTACCTCGGAATATTGTTATACGTCTTGACTGACAAACGGAGAACGAAGTGCTTAATATATATACTTATTTTACTTAACATTTGCTTCCTTAATTATGGTTTGACCTTAAAAGTGAAAATATAGTATTGTGAAGAACTCACAAAAGCTATAGCTATATTTTAGTAACTGTTGTCTTTTGTTTCACAGGAACGCCATGAAACTCAAATACGCACTGTTTCACCGGACCTATGGTTAAATGAAAGTGGCTCCGAAACTTCCATGGCTGTACCAGTACATACGGTGCACTTCACTAACTCTCACGGATCGGACGATGATATTGAAGAACTATACAATTCAGATTTAGTATATGTCTCTGAAACTAGACAGCATAAGTCTGAACACTCGTTAGTGCCATCGGAAAGTCATAAGCTAGCTCATATTGCGGCCAGCCAACATTTACCAAAGGACCATCATTTTATTGTAAAGATAATTTATGATTTACTTCTTAATGTATACATACAAGATGACACAGAATCATCCCCGGAGGAGTCAACGGAAACTTCAATATCAGATACTGATACTGTGGCGATTGCTCGACAATTTGGTAGAATGACGATAAACAAAGAATCTTCATCTGTAGAACGATCGGAACTCAAAGACATAGCTAAAGACATAAGGAAATTTATAGAAGAGAAATTGGATGAACAGATCTTTGAATATCACAAGGAAATCATTCCTGACGCGTCCTCTCTGTTCAACTTACATAAAGAAATGCAACATATTCTTGATGCTAAACTTTCTACAAGTACAGAAACTGAGTCTGCTGAAGAAAAAAAAGTGAAGAAATCAAATTTAAAAAATGTATCAGTTCAAACTGATAGAAAACGTGCAAATACACGTTCTCAGAAAGTACAAATTACTGAACCAGAAGATTTGAATCGCTCAACCGATACTGTGCAAGATGTGGATAAAGAAACTCAAACTTCCCAAAACAAAGAAAAGCAAGATTAATGTATAATTCACTCAATTTCACAGCTTAAAACAATATTAGCAATGTGTAAGTAATGCAAGTCGCGATTATTTATCGAAACTATTTGACACTATTTGAGATAGTATTGTTTAATCGGACTACACTAGCGATTATAATCGCTTTAATAGAATGGGAACGTAGAATGGGAACGTTGAATACCATTTTCAAGGCCGAGCTAGCATAAAAACGCGCTTATTTTGCTAAACTATTACGTAAAGTACCGCAAGATGTGTTTGCGGCGGACGGACGTGAACTTGACTCACTTACACAACTCTTATTCAACAGATTTGGGGTCAGCTTAATAATGGCTCGAAATAATTGTTATTTTCACTCATTTTGAATATGAGTTTTTATTGATATATTACTAGTATTGCACATTTATTTTTATGTTGATGCTTAAAATTATAAAAATTAATAGCACTAAAATTATTCATTTATACGAGTAATAAGATATTCTCAATGCACTGCAAGTATACAATAAATAAAAACAACTGACTTCAACCAAAAGAAATAATTTATCTAGAAAAAGCGGTTAACATTTGTAAACTTCTTTTGAAATTAAAATATTAAAACTTTGTTGAAATTAAAATATAAAATTCAGTTTTGTAGTTGATTGGTATAAACCCCACTTCAAATTAAGTTACATGAATTGTAAACTGTCAACAATTTTTTGTATTTTTAGGAATTTGAAAGCCGCTTGCCGTTTAATTTCTATTTTAGTGAGAGTATGTTAAGAATTATATGCAATCTAATTTATATCTATTCAAAATTCAACAGCTGAATAAATAATAAATATATATTGTGTGTGTGACTACATCACACATACATTAATTACATCTCTAATCAAATAAGTTATGCGCTTGGACACCGGAAATCTAAAATTACGAAGGGTTACACGACACCCAGACCCGAGATAATATAGAAAAGTTAATTTTCTACATTGACCTGAATGAACCTGGAATTTCAGAGATGGCGGCATCTTGAGATCAGCTTATTAGCCACGCAGCCACTGTCGTCAAGAGGTTATAACGTTACATGCACTGTGCCTTATAGTTCAGTTACAATGATCGACACAGGCGACCTCTCTCAGGCTCGTCTCGTTGGTCAATAAAACAATGAGCGACCAATGTAAGCGAGCCTTAAGATTATTTCGTTTCACTTTGATTTTATTTGACACTACAATTGATTAGTTATCATAACATGTTTAATTTAAAGTCGGCAATTAACTAACATTCAAGTTTTTCGACACACGACTCAAATTAAGAAAAAAAAATTATTGATACACTTAGCAAATACGGTAATATTGTCTCATAAAATATAACATAAATACGTAAATCGTAAAACTATATAATTTTTTATAGTTTAGCAAAATTAATTGTCAAAACTACTTCTTAACATAGTCAAAGTCAAAGTCAAAATAATCTTTATTCAAATAGACTTCTTAAAAGTACTTTTGAATCGTCCAACATTTTTTCCCCTACAGCTCGTTCAGGACGTCTTTTGGCTGATAAGAAGAACGAGCAAGAAACTCACCAGCTGTAATAGGAGTAATGACATTTACAAAAACCATGCCATTACCAGATGAATACATTATAAATAAAGAGAGAAAAAAAAGAAACTATGGTCTTATAATGATAACATAATCATTTAAAAATAATGGAAGCAAGATAATTTTTGATATACATATAATGAGTTAAGAAGTAACCACCTATCCAGTTGCTGGATCATCTCAAGTCCAAGTATTCTTATCTGTTATATAATCCTTTTAGTAAGCTTTTTTAATAAGTATTATTTTAATAGTAGATTTAAACTGCATGATATCTAATTGTTGTATTTTGCTTGGGACCTTATTGTAGAAGCGCACACAAAGACCCTTGAATGAGTTATTAACTTTTTATAGTCTAGTGACAGGCACTGTTAATTTATTTTTATTTCTTGTATTAATATTGTGTACATTAATTTTTATAGAAAACAAACCAATATTTTTACGAACGTACATTAAATTCTCGTATATGTATTAAGAAGCAACAGTCATTATGCCTATTTCCTTAAATTTCTCCCTTAAAGAGTCCCTAATCCTTATGATACTTATGATTAAGATTACGAGTATAAATTGATCTAATTGCTCTTTTCTGAAGTACAAAAATCGTTTGTATGTCGGCAGTATTGCCCCACAATAGGATTCCGTACGACATCACACTATGAAAATAACTGAAGTATACTAATCTGACAGTGTCTATGTCAGTTAACCTACGTATCTTCATTACATTATATATAAATCTATGCATGTTGTCTGTAGGCATTCAAAATGCTTCGAAGTTGAATAAATTAATTTAAAACGTGATGCCATGTCCTTGTCCTATACTCTTATGATCATCCAACAAGTTGCATCACAGTATATTGCTATTTAGGTATTACGAAATGTAACTAATAATATAAAAAAGCGTTTCTCGAACTGTGCTCCACGAAACTCTAGGACTCCTCAAAGGATATTTTGGGACCACAAAAATAAAGGATAGGGTTGCCACCCGCACTATAATTTATACTGTTGGAGAAATATATATTTCTTCATTAATACAATATTTTCAACATCGAAATCTAACTAATGGATTTCTCGTTTATAAAGGCACCTAATACATTAACTTTTGATTAATGCGACAGCTTAAATAGATAGCTTGTGTAAAATTCATTACTTATGTTAAGAACTCATACGTTCCTTTCATCTGTTCTTATTCTTAGCCAAAAGAGGCCTGAAAGTGTGACAAGAAAATTAAATATATTTAAAATTGCTTTCAATGAGCTTATTTGAATAAAAAATAATTTGATTTCATAACCTGTATAAATCTTAACGCATTTGTCTTGCTGTGACATTACGACAGACGCATCTGTTTGTGTTAATGTTCTGTTCCCGTGTAATTTGATTGGTAGGTATTTTTTGAAGTGTCTTGTATTTTATAAGCATTTTAAAAAATACTATAATTCGCTGAAAATTTGTAAGCAACCCTATTTCAGGAAGATATTAGAGTTAAAATAAAATATGTATTTATACAGTTTAAGCAGAGCAGACGTACCAATTCCGACGATGACTGAACGCAGTATTATTTATAGAGAGTCCTTTCAATAACTGATTTAATTGTGTCCTTCTCACACTCAGCGGGGGCCAGGCGCGTGGTTATTGGAAAGCCCGATGGGTTGGTCGATGTTTGCCGCACTTAGAAATTTAGCATTACTCGCGAGTGCATCAGTGAGGCACACTAGTTATATCTTACTCATCATAATCATCATCATTTCAGCCGAGAGACACCCACTGCTGGGCATAGGCCTCCCCCAAAGATCTCCAGTGTGATCGGTCCTGCGCCTCCCGCATCCAGCGGATTATATCTTACTATTATTCCTTATTTGTATGCAGTAATACATAAACCAATATAACAAAGATCATGAAGAAAAGCAAAATATAACGATTGTTTAGGTTTTAAAAGTAATTTTCAGTCATAATAACAAAACTGCTAATTTTATTTCGAGATTATTTTTAGAACCACCTATGTTTTTTTTTTCCAAATAACGGTGTGAATAATCACTGGACAAACACAAATTTTTGAAGTCTGTTAATAATAATAGATACACTGAATGTTTTACATTTTATTAATTAACATGTACAAAACCATGACTTATACCATAACTTAAATACTACATAACAACACCGAGCTTTACGCGTCACTTTTGATTTCATCTAGCTTTCTTAACTTTATCCACACATCTCCTTCCGCTTGGGGCACGAAGCTTGTAGTCTTGAGCCTCATCGGCACCAGCGTCCGCTGATCTAATAATAGTTCATATTTCTGTAAGATCTTTACTAGCGCTAGTTTTGATTGGATGTACCCTTGCCGCATACCTACGAAAAAGACAATAGCACACTTAAA